TAATTATAAATAGACTCATGAAAATAAATATAAAGAAAAGTAAGGTTTCAATATTATTTAGTCATCTACTTTTGACTTTGATTCATTTTGACTATYGTACTTTGAAAAAGTGATCGATTTGCTTCTTATTTACAAAATTTTAGAAACCATTTATTACAAACTTAGGACTAAAATTCAACTCCTATCTTTCAAGAAATTTGGCGAGTGAATTTAGGTAGAAAATTATGATAAAAATAAATGAGATAAAAATGAAAATAACATACTAAAATGATAACTTTGGTTTTTTAAAAGAATCAAAAGAGACGTTTCGAGAGTACACACATTAACTAAACTGAACAAAAATAATGAGATATTTTAAAAGTAGAGATAATAAAATAAACCAAAATCAAAACTACTAAAATAGCATATTTAAACCTAAATAAAACATGGAATTTAGCACAAAGAAATGGACGAGAACCTAAGCCTTATATAAACACATGATTCTCCAGAGCCTCCACCATAATCCAAACCTTCTAAACCTAATATATCTCAGCATCACAGGCTTTATGAAGAACTATATATTATTCAACATACTACAACTATTCTTCAGAATCAAACAGGAAAACAAAAAACACTTTCTTTTTGAGGAAAAAAGTGCTGCAATTATTGGCTCAAGAAACAAACTGAAAGGACTTTTGAGGTTGTGCTCATAATTAGGAACAAGAATAGTTTAACCTTAAAGAGTAGAAAGTTTTCCCAGGTTCATGCATGGTATCTTAAGGCTAAACTCGACTTTTCCATGCGTTTCTCTTCCAATATCAGCCAAAGCGAGTATAGCTTGGTAATTGGCATATATCTCCAACCAAGAGGTAAGTTTGAACTCACAATATGTACCCCTTTCTTTTTAGAATACAATATGTGAGAGTGAGAGTTCGAATTCACAATCCTTTAATCGAAAATAAATGTCTTAATCAATTGAGCTATGCTAGATTGATAGTACAATTTGTTGGGGGAGGGGATTCAAACTCATAACCTCTTGAWTTGAGGTATATGTCAATTACYGCTGAGCTATGYTTGTTTTGACAATTAATGGTATTTATATATATGTACTCTCGATGAAAAGAATTACTATATATATATATATATGTAACGTACCTATAATAGAAAACTGTCATATATAAGTGTGTGTGATTAATGGCGTAGCATCATTAGGAATGTTGAAAAAAATTTCTTAGTACGTGTGAATGGAATGGAATTATACATAATTAATATGGGTTTGGTATGCAGTGGATAATGGATTAATCACGGGTCATTCAATCACTTCCTAAAAGTTTGCCCACAATTCTCTCTGTAATGCACTTACTATATGGATTTACAAGCATAACATAAAATGTTTAGATTCATATAATGAGAACCTATAATTATCCTCTAATATAATCTCTTTTTTCTTGTATTAAATTTTAAATTTCTCTTCCCTTTCAGTAGAATTTTAACATAATACACAGAAATGGTAATTAAGGTAATTAAAAACTCTCTTATCTTTCTTTTCCCGGGATCTTTTCGATGCTCAACAATCTAGGCTGGATCTTTTTTTTTTCTTTTTTTATGGATCGGAGGCTCCTGAGCTCGTTGAGCTCTCATACTATCTTAATGCTATTCCTAGGATTCCATCTTCAAAATCTACTGACAATTAAAAAAAGTAGTCTTTTTGATGTGGACCTTTAACACTCCACTCGAAGAATTATAAGGCTGATCTAGTGTGATATATCTTAGGAACAAAGCCAGAAGCGAGAGGAAAACTTTAAAATCTTTAATATTTTGAATTTGTGACAAACTAAGAGAGGGAATTGACTTTTCACCTTTGTTCTAGAAAAATACTTTGCTAATGTTTAACAAATAAGAGAGAAAAATGCAAAAACAAGAACTCTTTTTAAAAAATAATGAGTTTGTCTATGAGAACACTATTTGGTCTCAGTCAAGAGCCAAGTATTTCCACCGAGCTTTCTAAGCTTTTATATAGTTTTATTTTGAACTCTCACTTAGAAAGTCTCAAACTTTATATGTATATGGGATCATGTTATCGTATTTACTCTATATATTCAAGATTTTACGCACTATAATTTACTATTTTCTCACTATTGTGAGATTGTATTTACCTCTCTATCTTGGAGCTAGAAAAAAGTTAGATTGTAGAAAAGAAATTAATGCTATTAACAAAATGAAGATGTTTTTGTGTAATTATACACTCCAAATAGAAGAGATCAGAAATAGGGGCAAACACAAAGCATATATAATGAGAGTAATAATTTTTACCATTGGACAAACTCTCAAGTATTGAATTGATCATCTGAAAAGTGGGAGTTGGCCGGATCAGTAGGAAAATTAACATATGCCATGATTGTTGTAGGCCTCCCATGGCTTTCCAATGAATTGGAAGTCTCCAAATGGATGCTGTGAAACCCCAAATTATAAGAGAGAAGTGGTCAGAAAACATATGGTTTGTACTTTGGAAATTTTCTTGGCCTTTATCTGTTTGATAATATGCATGTTTGTCACAGCCAAAAAGGTGTATAGATCGAGTACGTTAAAAAGTACTTGTAATTGTCACATGAGAATTGAAGAGGAATTATTGGAACTTACTTCTTGGGGACTTCCATTGTTGTTGTGAAGAGAATTGTAGATAATGGAGTTCGATGATGGGCTCCACGGCCTCCCCATCATCATCAAACAATCATGATCAGGATCATCATCTATGATTATTCCTTCATCTCTTCTCCTTAATTGCTGATTATCAATCTGCTGATGAGTGCCTGCAGATTCCTCACTACCTGATGAGCTTATTTTGCTTACATCTTGTTTTCTTCCTTCAATTTCCTCAATTGGATTTCCTTCTGACAACAATTTCTCTCTAATTTGCAGCTGCTTTTCCCTCGTTCTCGCCCTCGCCCTCGCTCTCGCCTTCTCTCGACACTCTCGCGCCCGAGGGTGGAACAATGCAGTCTTCCTGGCAGCTCTCCCTCTCTTCTCTTTCGCCATTGCTTTTCGTCCCTCTTTCTTGTTATTGTCGTCGACGACGACAACAGCGGCAGTCTCGTCAATTCCCGACACCACCTCTCCGTCGGAGACCGACGAGGGGCTGTTGTCCCTCGATAGCTTCTTGATAGCATGTCTAGACTGGAACAGCAGCCACTCCACGGTTTTGCTGGCCTTGTCAACTCCAAGCATGTCTTGAAGACCAAAAAATTGTCTAGCCACAGGGAGAGACAGCCGCATTCGGCGGTCCCTCGGCCCTCTAAGGGTGTTGATTTTGCTGTGCCTGTCTCTCTTTGATGAGGCTCTTTTTCTTTGGCTCTGCTGCTGCTCGGCCATATTGCTCATCACATGGTCTGTAGAAACATTGGTGAAATTTGATGGGTGATGAAGAAAAATGTCTTCTTGTTGAAGAATGAGGCCGGGAGTGTCATCAAAAGGAGAAGGAAAGTGGAAATTTGAATGGTCCGGGAAAGAGATGGGGTTGTGGCCATGGTTACTACTATTGAACATAAACATATCTTAAATCTTTTATCTTAATCTTCCTTGATTTGGAATTTGCACCAAAAGGAACCAAAAAAAAAAAAAAGCAAACCCTAGAGGAGCATAATGGCAAGAACATAGGAGAGTGCCAAAACCCCAATTGAGATTTGAGAGTGACAATTTAACCAAAGAGAGATGATGATGAAAGCTTCTTGAGAGAGACTTGTGTGAAGAAATGGGAGATGAATGGTGAAGGGAGAAAGAAAATGGGTGGGAGGGAATTTATTTTGAGGCAAGTTGTAGTCATCTTTTTGAGGGGTAAATAAGGGTTTTTTTCTTCTTCTTTCTTTTGGGCAAAAAGTTGGATCTTTTCGAGTGAAGTGATACAGAGAGAGAGATGTAATGGGGGAAGAAGTGAGTGGACAGAAGACACCTAGTATTTGTGCCACACTTCACGTGGTTTGCAGATGATGATTTTGACACACCCGACCACTCTAAGACACACCTAGCGCTAGATAAGATATTTATTACTAATATCTTTGATCTTACACTTTCGAATTAATGCTTTAGTTTCTATTCTTTAGGAATTGAAATTGGAAATAATTGAAATGAGAATGTTATTCGTTTGATGTTGTTTACTAACCATAAATTTTCTAGAATCGAAAAATAAAGATAGTTTGATATTGTCTAAAACTTTTTATAATCAGAATATGAATCAGATATGTGTAACAATTACTAGTGTATTTTTTCTCATTTCTAACTAATTACAAATATAGTATTATACTAATTTTTTTATTAAAATAATAATAAATTTTAATTTATTCTAATACTATTTTGTTATAGTAAGTATTTTTTTTTATTTTTTTATTACTAACAAATAATAAATAATTAAAATTAAATTACATCATTAAATATAAATTTTGGTTAGAACAACCATCATTTAATATAAAATATTATTAAGTTTTTTTGTATTATTTTTAATAATAATAAATTCTATTTTAGTACGTAGGTTTAGTCCTTAACAAGCAAGATCTTATAAAGTTCGTTTGTTAGAGATTATGAAAAATAACTTGAGGACCAAATTAGGAATTACCAAATTAATTTATAATAGAACTTTGGTATACTTCCACCTTGATGGAATCTTTCATAGCAGGAAATAAATGGCTAGAGATCTAGACGATAGGAATTAAATCATTACTAACTAAAGTTTATAGATTAAATTATTACAAATTTGAAAGTATATAAACTAAATAGAAAAACGGTATAAGTTTAGGGACTAAATCAATACATTACCTATTATATTTCATTCTTCGAAATCTTCCCTTTCATCAGCAAAATTTCTCGAACTTTCAATTGGGTTTCGTTTTTCTCTCTTTTTAGGACGTGGGTTTGTATTATTACTAAAAAAACACAGCCTTTTTTTAGACACAATTCATACTGGATTAAGGATGGAAAAGAATGTTGGTTTCAAAACGTGGGTTAGGGTTTGTCAATATCTCTATCTAGTTGTGGCAACTTTATTTTTATATCTAATGTAGCATTTGCAATTGGTGATACCAAATACCAAATTTATGTGCGATGATGTGGCAAGTCCACGTGGCTGTGGCCTGTGGATAGGCATATATATAACCCTAGGAGTGAAAGGACAATTATTTCACTACTTTGAAAGGCCTGCCCTAGAGAGGCAATGGTCTGTTGACTGGTTTTTTTTTTTTTTTTCTTCTTCTTTCTTTTTCTTCTCTACCTAATGTCACTTTCAATAAAAAGGAGAGAGAACTTATCTCTCTGTCTCTCTCATTTCTCTTTCACATCTATCAAAAGAAAGAATGTTGTTGCTGTTGCTGTTGCTGGTGCTGGCTCCCTTCCATGCGTGCTTATCTATTTAGCWTTTTCTTCAAGGGAAAGGCCAATAAAGCTACCCTTATATATCCCTGCCCTTTCCCTCTCAAGAACCCAAAAAAAAAAAAAAAGGATAATACTCCCGTACAAACTAATCAACGGAGTCAATTCCTACTACCCACTACTAAGTTTTTGACGAGTGTATTGATCACTTTTCCTTAATGTGCATTCCTCTCTTCTACGTATCAAAAACTTAGGTTTCGTTTTATAACCATTGGAAACTTATGCTTGTTTGTTCACAATTTCTTTAGTATGTTTTCATCATTCTTACAAACACATTTGCATTCTCACCCAAATTTTAAAAGAAAAATTGTTTTCAAAATTTTACTGAGATTTTGAAAACGTATGTTTAAAAAGTTGATGGCATGACACATATAATACATAGGTGGAATTAGTAGTTGTTAGCTTAATTTAAAAAAAAAAAGAGCACACAACCTAAAGACTTCCCAAGCTGTGTCACCCAATTTAATATTAGGGATTCGGTGCATTATTGCTGATATGATCGCACTCAATTGTAGAAAACAAAAAACAAAATAGTTATCAAACGATGAACAGTGATTCAGCTATTTTCAGTTGACAGAGAGGTATAGCTAGAGAAGCTTCTGAAAAACCCTAGCCATGACCACAAGAAAATCCCATCCACAGCCCAAATTCCAAACCCTAAAGCCCTTTCTTCCCCAAAATTGGCCTTTCCATTTATACATGCCGTCTCCTCCCACTTACATATCACAATTCTCTCTCTCTCTCTCTCTCTCTCTCTCTTTAGAACTGACACAATTACGGAGAACCACTCATGTTATTGCAGAGCTTGGTAATTGAATTGGGTTGTTCCCGGGTTGCTTTCATTGAGAACAAGATAAGCATCAAAAGAAAGAGAAAAAAAAAAGGGTTCTTTGAATGTACAATTTGTTGGGAGGGAGTGGGTGATGGTGAAAGCTAGCTAGCAGCAAACAAATTAAACCCTAAAAAAAAAATTAAAAGAAAAAAGCCCCAAAGTCCAAGTGCCTTTCATGTCCTTGCCTGTGTTCCTCCCTGCCTCCTCTACCATAATATATATTATATTTATTTTTCCATTTGTGGTTGAGACTTGAAATCCCACATTTTTCTGCTCACACTCATTTGCATTTTAGGCTTTGAGGGGATGAATTTGAACCCCTTTTCCCCTCCCAAGAGTGCAACCACACCACTTTGAAATTTGGATGTGCCTTTTCGTAGGGCACCACTTACACAATTTTTTTCCCTAAGAATTTTAGGGTGTTAGCTTGGTATGCAATCAAAATTCTCTTTCTTATTTTCATAATAGACGATACCACAAAGCCTCACGTGTTTATCACTACGCGTTTCTCAGAGGACTTACTGTACTTACAGATATCTTTAGCCAATTATGTCACCCTTTTTTTTTCATTCACAGTCCTTTAAATTAGCAACCTGAGTATTATTATTTTGTTTGTTGTTAATTTCTTATCTGGTCTCTGGTTGTGGTATTTAAAGGGCGGTGATGGGAAAGAAAGTCCATGTTCCATGTTTTGCTTTTTATCCTCTCCCTCTGTGTTTTAATYTGCGAGCAGTAGTGTCAGATTGGTACTTGCTTCTTCTGATGGACATTTTAATGGACCTCTCTTTGCCTAGCTGATTCCATCCATTTTTTGAAACTCTTTCTAGCTAAAATCATGTACGTGTAGGACCTCTCTTACCGATTCCATGATCCGTGCGCTTTGAGATTAAGAAGTCGAGTTTATGTTTAGTGTGCCAAATTCCTTCTATACGAGCACATGAAGTGCACGTATGATCGCTGCTTGTATGCGATTCAAAGTACGCTCAATACAATAATCTATGGTGATTGAGGCAAACAACGTCCCTTTATCGGCTAAAAGAAACTTGATGATTAATCTAACCCCAACTTTTTTTTTGTCAAGGACAATAGTAGCCTAGGTATATTCGTAATGGTACGAGGCATTTTGGATAAAACTAAAAGCGTTGAGACAAACAACGCCCCTTTATCTCAATGGCTAAAAGAAGCTTGATGATTAATTTAACCCCGTCTTTTTGTTAAGTTTGTTAAGGACAATTAAGAGTCGAGGTATCTCCACAATGGTATGAGGTAAAAAAAACTAATCTATTCCCATTTTTTGTTAAATTTGTTAAGAGCAATGAGTATATCCACGATGACATGAAGCATTTTGGATAAAACTTAAAGTAAAACCGTGAGAGCTATGCCTAAAGTAAAAGATAATATTATATTATTGTAGAGGTATTTGGGGTAGTTTTGTTAATCGTGTTGTTATTAACAAAGTAAGAAAAAGAAAGTTTAGTATGCATATATTCCATATTCTCTCCCTAAAGTAGTCCTTTTAGTGGGAGCAAACAAATATTCTTCATCAACACTCATTTCTTCAAATTACTCTATTCAAAGTACTAAACTTGAAAGTGTCAAGAATTCCCTTGACTAATGTCGAAAAATACTTATTACTTATCGGTCAATTTTATCTTTCAATGACTACCATTTTAATAAAACAATTATCTTTGTTGGCGTTGGACCATTAGTTCAAAGGGACCAGAGTAAATTCTGGAAAATTTAAAGAGAATGAGTTCAAATCATGGCGGTAATCTATTTAGGACTTAATATCCTAACTATCAAATTAACACTTGTTTCAATCGAAGGTTAAATTAAAATAAAAATAAAAAAGTGTAAGTAATATAATAAACACTAGCCATGTCTTGTCTCGGGCCTCTCTGTATATGAACTCCAACATATAATTGAATTCTATATATATGATACCAAATCAATATACATTCACTTCTGGAAAGAAAAAAAGCTGTATTTATAATCATTGTTATTGACAGAACACAGGGGCAATGGGAGAAATTACTTTTAACCTCCCAAAGAAGAAGCATTGAAGCTGCCAAGAAGATGTAGACAACAAGGTGTGAGTGGACCATTAAGTTCAAAATTCATAGAACATTAAGAGAAAATTGCAGCCTGAAATGATTATCCTATCATTTCCTTCCTGAAATAAGAATAAAAGGGCTCACTAAAGCCTAATTAAACCCATCACATATTTGGTCGCTATATATTTTCCAAGTGATATATAAAGAATTGAAGGTTCGAATCTTCACTTTTACAAGTTTAAACTAAAAAGATTATGTTCTTTTATTCTTTAACTCGTTAAATAAAAGGACTATTGAATGAGATTTTAATCTCGTACATGCATGCTCAATATCAGTCTCTCGTTAGATTTTACCATCATTCACACATAACGCATTAATGTTTGTCAGAATCAAAATTAATATTTTACTAATAATTATCGTTTGATTAGTTTTTTTATTATGAATTTTATGATGTGACAATTTTTAAATGGCGGAGGACATGACAAGTCACTACCTCATAAAACATTATTACTTGAATTATGTTTTAAACGATATAAGGTGGTCAAACTTGCTGTCGTTTTGAGAGATAGTTAAGCTTTATTCATTATAGAATTTTTATAATTTGTTTTCAACTGTAATTAAAATAACTTTGATGCGTGAATCAAATACAGCATGTAAAACTAAGATTTAAAGTACGAGGGCCAACACGAGCACAACTTARCAATTAAAACATATATTTCTCTCTCGAAGATTAGTCGTTGAAATACCCCCTCGAACTTGAAAAAATATATTAAAACATAATGACTAAAAATGCAATTTAACTTAAACATTACCTTTCTTTGGATTTCTTTCATATTAATGATATATACAAAGGAAAAAAGAGCCAAAGGTACAGACAGGAAAGAAGCAACTTATAATATGCAGTTTTGTGGTTTTATATTTGTGTATATGCAAACATAAAATAGATATTATATATATTGTGGTGTTAATTATAAATATCTAAACTCTAGGGGTGGTGCACCACAGAAAAATTTGAACTTTTTTTTTATTGTACTAAGAAATTATAGTGCGAAAGGCTTGGCTGTAAGTTAAGTTGTGTGTAACGTACAGTACTGCATGATTTGTGGTTCTTCTTCGTCTTCATCAGCCCCAATAATTTTTACAGTACAGACTCAGTTACGAGTTTGAGAGGAATCCACTCCCTTTTTACTATTTCCATTCACTTTTTTCTTGGTCCCTTTTTCCCTTCTTTGTTAAGAAAATGCTCGGTATCTTCACAGTTTTGCGATGATTTGATATTGTCTACTTTGGACATAACTCTCGCGGCTTTGTTTTTTATTTCGTCTAAAAAAACCTCATGTTAATAGAGATAAATTGTCTTCTCTTCATAATCAATGTGTGACTTTGTTTTGGTTATTTGAACCGTATATTTTTTTCCTTTTTTGTTAAAAAGTATTTATTGTAATTAAGAATATATAGTGAAACTAGAGCATATACTAACCAACCAACCCTTGTTACTTTCCAAAAAGTTAAATAACAAATTTGATGAGAAATGAGAAAATGAACCATTATGGATTATGTTTTCAAAGAATTAGAAATAAGAGAAAATAAAAATAAATAAAAATGTTATGAACGAGTCTTAAATAATAGACATTTTTATTTGTTTAGCTTAGTTTTAAACACCTCTATAATTTTAATAGTTTCAATTTGAGTAAAAAAATTAGGGGTTTAGTTTTCAAGTGGGTTAACTTTGTTTAAGGACAATTTGTAAAATTTTAACTAATTGAGTTATATTTATGTTAACAAAATAATCGACAATTATATGAAATGGTTCCATAATATTATGATAATTGAATTTTGTAGTTGAAATATATATATATGGTCCAATTTGAGCATAATTGAGTAGATAGAATATCTATTGCCGAGATGGTTTGATTCTCACCTCATAATTATTGAAACAAATATATACGGATGTATTTAAGAAATTTTTGAAGAAATTGAAAAGAAAAAAAGCAAAAGTGATCAAGCCCGAAATCATCGTTGGGTTGGGGTTGGCCCATGGGTTAGCCCAAAATTCGATCCGAAACGTGTAATCAAGCCCGATTCTCGAAACTGATCTGAGGCGATGGTCCTTTAAACAGGCCCAGTAAAGTGGGCCGATCAAAGCCCGTTTACTCATGGACCCGAGACAACGGGGATGACCCGACCCGTAAATTCCCCTTTGTTTCGTCTATTTATGACGGCCAATGCCCCCATCTTCTTCCCTTTTACCATTTTTCCCACGACTTTCAGATCTCTCTCTCCGCAGCAGAAACTTGCTCGAATAGAAAACCACAAAAGGAAAAAAAAAAAATTCAGCTCACATGTAATAGCAACACCAGCTCAAAATATTTGATTGAAGAATTGAAACCGAGTTCATTTTCAACCACGATGAGTATTGAACCTTTTAACAGGTACTTTCCTCTATTAACTTAGCCCCTCTCAAATGATAAAATGGCAATTTGAATATCTTCTTTGGCCGTCCCTGAATGCTCGGCAATGGAACTGTTTTCTGTTTTTAATTCTTCCCAGGTTTGGCTTAATTTGTTTTGCTGAATGATCTTGATCAATTGGGCAGGTTGGTGAAGCTGGCTGCGAGAGCTTTTTACGATGACATTACGACTAAGGGGGATAATCAGCCCAAGACTGGTCGGAGTGATAATAGAGGAATTGCGGTGGTTGTTCTTGATGCTCTCACGAGGTACTGCCCTTTCGCGTTTTGTTTCTTGGAAATCTTTATCGCCACCCAATATGTTGTTACTGAGAAATTGAAAGGAGGAGAGTTTCATTAGTGGACCGAGTTCTGGTTAGTTATGTTAGGATTATTGGACGGGGAACTCTTTTTTGATTTTGAGCTTATTGTACTTTTAACCGGGTTCTTGGTAGTTATATTTCCAGACTAAGCTCGCCACTGTTTTGTACTCCCAATTCTGGGTGTGCTGGAGTGGAACAGTTAAATCAATGGATATCATGGTTGTTTATTTATGTTTCTTGAAACTTATTAGTGTACGCTATTTCTCAAGTAAAGCTGAGTTGAAGAAAAGCAACACTGATTCATTTCATTCATATTGATGTAGCCTTCTCAATAGCTTAGTTGTATTTTTTTCTTCCTTCAAGGGGAGGTTATCATTTCATTTTTTCTTATTATTAGTTCATCTGCTAAAGAACAAGATCCTGTTTTTCAATCTAGATTGTGGATGGTCTGAGCAAAAAGCTGATTCAAAATGACATTTTTAAGTTTCTTAATTTTTTACCATAAAGGATTTGGGAGATGATCCTGCCTAAGGTTTGTAATTTTATGTTCATTATATTTCTGTTCTTCAACTTGTTATGATGATGAAGCCATGCATGTATTATCTCCTTCTGCGGATCTTGTGAGCTGTTTTACTGCCACATTTTTTCTTTATTTATTTATAGCATTTGTTGTTGTATCCTGTCCTAGACGACAATGGGTTCGGGAAGAAGATTTGGCAAAGAACTTAAAACTACATTCGAAGCAATTGCGTCGAACCCTAAGGTTCCTAGAAGAGGAAAAACTGATTACCCGAGATCATAGAAGGGAGGTCAGTGCTGACTCTATCTATCCATCTTGTTCTTGTGCCTATTAGGTTAGTAGCTTGGAATATCTTAGTATGTTTTTCAGAATTTTAAATTGATTGTCTATAGCACCTAAGGTGCTTTTGTTGAATAGAGTTTGTGGTTTGATTTTGGTAAATTTAGTTAAAAAGAAATAAAAAAGTGTTTCAAGAAGCGGGAAGGCATGTGGAGAGCCTTGGGAAGTTAATGTTTTTGTTACCTCTTGGTGTATTTTGTTTAAATTTGTTTGTAATTTGTCATTTTTTCTGTCTGTTCTATTTGCCAATAGGAGAGCCTTTTTTTTTTATATAATTTTTGGTGGATTGTTCATATGCTTAGTCCAAGAAAGAGAGAAAAAAAGTTGTTGGCCAGAGGAATGGCCAAATAGGCTTGCTGATGACAGGTAGTAACGGATTTTGACAAGAAAAAATAAATCTTGTTATCTTCAAGAAAATCTCTGAAGTTCTTAAATAAAAGGCTACTTTTTTGCAAGTTAGCCTTAGATCTGCATGAGTGCCACTAGCACTTTGGAGCATACTAATAGATATAGTTTACTTCATGCTGTATCCGTGATAGACTGCTGTTACTAGTGCTTATATTGCTTTACCTTCTTCCTTGTACTAGACATATGGACAACCCACTTTTCTCTCTTGTATGTGTTACGTCATTTTAGATCTTCACTAGTAGGGAGATTAGAAAATAAAAATAAAGGTTGGAATTAAGTAGAATGATGTTCACTCCCATCTTCTCACTTTTTTCTCTCTCATCTTACCTGTGATCTTTTTGCATTTCTTCATCTGAAGCTGATTAACATACGTGGTATGTAAACTTGTCTGGTATACTTTTTTTTGAACAAGATACGAACTTTTCATTGATATATGAAAAGGAACAAAATTGTTCAAAGATACAAACTCCCGAAGGAGTGATAGAGAAAGCAAGAAATAGAAAATAAAACATAAGACAAGACTACAAAGGAGAAATAAAGGCCTTCCAATTYATACAAATCATACTAGGGGAATACGAAGAGAACAGATCGGAAAGAGCACACCATTGAGAAGCTTTGAATTGGCAATGTTGAAGCATTCCAACGGCAGGCGACAAGAATCTTCAAAAATCCTTTGATTTCTCTCAAACCATAATTCTGAGATGATAGCCTTAAATCCATTAAATCCAAAGTAGATTAGCTTTGGTGCCAACCCAACACCATGTAGAATCTGAAAAATATTATTAGCAGCCTCACGATCCCACACCCATACTAATTGGAACATCTGGAGAAAAAGATTCCAACAAACAGCAGCATATGGGCAGAAAAAGAAGACATGATTTAAGCTTTCTTCATTTTCTGCACATAAAAAGCAAATGGATGGCTGTAAAGCCATCTTAGGAGACTTTCTCTGCAAGATATCTGCTGTATTAACTTGTCTGGTATACTTCATACAGGAAAATCTATTTGAATTCTGTTAAATATATTGCTGCTTAATTATTCATACTTTTTAATGTGGAGCAGCGAATCAATGAGTTATCTTAATATGATAACATTATTTATAGGCACGCTCTTCAACTTTTTGCTATTTACTTTTCCAGACAGCTAAGGGAGCAAAGATATTTAGTGCTGCAGTTGCTGCCACGGCCGATGGTCAACAGCCAGGGAAGGAGGGAGATGAAAAGATTAAGATGCACACACACTCTTATTGCTCGCTAGACTATGCTCAGGTTCTTCTTCTATAGGGTCACTACTGTAATAATAATAATTCTGATCAGTTACCTTATTAAAGCTAAACTTGGCTACAGATCTATGATGTGGTTAGATACAGAATGCACCGGATGAAGAAAAAACTGAAAGATGAATTAGAGGACAAGAACACAGTTCAAGAGTATATATGCCCCAACTGTTCGAGAAGGTTTTGATGATATGGTTTCTCTCTCTTTAAAAAATGTTATGTTCTTTCTATGTTTTTGTCATTTTAAGGAATCAAACATACACTTGTTATTGACTTCTTACCTGGAAGCAAGCTTGAAAGTTGTATGATATTGATTAGATACACTGCTTTGGATGCTCTGCGGTTGATCTCTCTTGAGGATGAATACTTTCACTGTGAAAATTGCAATGGAGAGCTGGTTGCAGAGAGTGACAAACTGGCGGCGGCTCAAGGAGGGGATGGAGATGATAATGCCAGAAAGCGACGGCATGAAAAATTAAAAGACATGCTTCAGAAGATGGAGGTTTTTATCTCTGGATTGTGTATTTTACTTTAATGGATTTTACATTTAGTATAATGACCCAAAAGAAATGTATTCTGAATCATCATCATTTTCATTTTTTTTCCCTTTAAATCTTTGTATGTAATTTAATGAATTTCTATCTCAGGTATAGTTCTTTGGTGTAACGAGCTGATTTTTTTTCTTTAAACAAAGAACACTTGTCCTATAGAAAAATCATGATTCTCTTCTTCTCGGCTTCTGTCTATTCCAAAATTTATGGGGATGGCTGATCACAAAACTCTTTTACCTTTGTTAGCGTACAAGAACACTGACCTTGAAGCCATGTTTCTGAAAAAGTTTATGTGGGATTGTGTTTTTCTCCTTGAGTTTGTGTAGGGATGTTTCTATTGCTAAATGTTGACGAGTAAGTCAAATAATTGCAGGTCCAACTTAAACCTTTGATGGAACAACTCAGCAGAGTCAAAGATTTGCCTGTTCCGGAATTTGGAACTCTTTTAGCATGGGAAGCTCGTGCAAGTGCAGCTGCACGTGGGGCAAATGGTGATCTCAACGGTAATGATCCCTCGAAGTCATCGCAAGGTTTAGGATATGGGGGAACACCAATGCCTTTTGTTGGAGAGACCAAGGTATCCCTTCCTCATGCTTGTTATAGCTCTGGATCTTGAAAGGCACCACTCTAACCACTCATAAACTCATGAATCTCTTAGGTTGAAGTTGCCTTTTCTGGGGCTGAGGGCAAGGGAGTGGATGTTAAATCTGAAACTGAGAACACGGGACTGAAAGTTTTACCACCTTGGATGATCAAGAAAGGAATGAACCTCACAAAGGAACAACGTGGGGAGGTCAAAGAGGAGTCAAAGATGGATGCTGGTTCAGCTGCTCAGTTTTCTGATGATAAAAAGTCATCGGCCAATGACGATGATAAAACGAATTTTCAGGCTCGTTCAATAAGATTAGCTCTTTTCATTTTTTACTCATAACTCAAGTGCTTTTCTATCCAAAAATCTAAAATGGAAAGAGATTATATGATCTCATGTACTGGTGGTTGACTGTACTGTAGGATGAGTATGTTAAAGCTTATTATGCTGCTATACTGAAGAAGCAACAAGAACTTGAAGAATCTGCTAAGAGACCAGAGGAATTATCCAGTACAGAGGTTACTGAAAGTGTGTCTAATGCAAATTCCAGTCGCCAGGTGGGAATGAAAGCAAAACGTGAAGGGGATGAAGAAGATGATGATATTGAGTGGGAGGAGGCACCAATAGGGGGTCAGACATTACTTTCTTTTCATGTTTGACTCTTTAGGTTTTTATGGTGTTTTTCTTTACTTATTATTCTGCCGTGCAGTATAATACCTCGACAGTACCATAGATTAGTAAATGAAGTAAACAGCATCACATGCTTTATCTGTCTTGGTATTCAGCATGAATTTATATGAAAAAAAAATAATAGCTTCTCGGTAATGGTCATTTTATTTTGTGTATGAATTTTATATTTTCATGCGGCTTTAATGTTTTACTCATTATTTGTGTTTGGAGCTGTGGACTGACGTTCTAGTTTTAAAACTTGATTGATTACAAATTGCCATTATAATTTTATCATGAAACTTCCGGGCAGTCGTACCTTGCCAGCTTTTGAGATGAATAGTCATTTCAAACTTGCATATCAAAGTCACTGTTGTGTCCTTGGAGTTTCGAAAAACATTTAATGATGAAATGCTTTAGGTTCTGAATTATTGATTTTGCAGTCTTACATTAGATTTGGTTATGTTTCCTGGATTAACTTTATAAAGACGTTGAAATTGTTATGTAAACAGTTAACTAGAACTTTTCTTTCTTGGTTGTGGCATATTTTACACGGGTAAGTAAGCTGGGTTGAGGAAGAACCTTTCTGGCTTAACTTTAATAGATACTGGATGATGCTTGCCTCCAATCACCTAATCTCTTACCTTTCATGTCATATGACAGGTAATGCAAATGAAAATTACAAGGTCGGTGACTTGAATGTTGAAGCATCAGCTTCGGTAGAGGATGAAGAAGAAGATGACGTGGATTGGGAGGAAGGTTGAAGAGGCAAAGAGAAGTTTTATACCATAAATCTGATACAAGGTCATGGTGCGTTCCTTCCATCTGCAAGGCCTTAAATGAATTGAGGTAGGAGCTCTGCAGTTAATCTTGAGCAGCTGTGTTACCTGTTATGTTGGAGCCGACTTTAAACATCCCCTAACCTATAATTGCTTGATTTTCTGCTGATATTCCTTCTTGGGTAGTCCGATGAATTGAATTGTACTCCACCAGTTTGGTGTGCTGGAAGAAAAGTTCAAGGAAAGTTGATATCAATTGAATTTTTACTCATCAAGCAAGTGTGTGGGAAGAAGAGAGGAGTGATAATCCATTTCTTACCAATTACTGTGGGATAAACTCTTGTGCAAACTTATTACCTGGAGCAATATGGTGTATTTACAATAGCTTTTATCTCTTCAGCTGATAGGGAAGTTCAGAAATAAAGATAGCTGACTGTCAAACATTATCTCCCCTCTCCCTGTAGAAACAACAGAATACAAGAATTCAATATCTTTTTAAACTTTGCATAATGCATGTGCTTTATTTGTATGTTTATATATTCACATATTCAAATAGATTACAATAACAATCAACACCTATTGTTAGACCACAATTTCTTGCAACACTTCCTTTAGGACATTTCTTATTGAGTTGAGTTATTAAGAGTTTTCTCGTGTTGTTTCTCTGTAGACTACAACACTTCCTTTATGGTCATTTCTACAAATTATCTTGCAATGGACATGCAGCACCTTCTACTATATCTTCTTATCATGTTGCCCTCTCTTCATGCTTTGTTTATATCAACTTTGAGGATAGAGAATAAGGTTGCACAACTTCTGAGCTAAATAGGCAGTCTAGAAAGTGATTGAAACAATCTTAGTGGGGTAGCTGGAACGAAAGAACGAAGAGGAAGAGTAGTAGAACTAGAAACCATTGACAGTGACATACCAGATGTGAACTAATACACCAAAGTTTCCGAGTGATATTTGGTGGGAAGTGTCTGTTGTTTAAGCAAAGTCCTAGGTGGAGTGATTTGACTTCCCCCCTCCCCCCTCTCATCAGTTTTTCCAACCCATGCCGACATTTCTGCATAAGAATTGTCGCCCCCATTTACATTGTGGTGATGATCCGATGGTCAATATTTTCTAGGAGACATGATGAAGTGTGATAAGATAAAGCATGATATCCAGGAGAGGACATAGCCGACAAGTGACTCATAAAAAGGCCATTCAAAGCTCATTTTCCCACCTCCGGAAGAAAAGGGGCTTCTTCTGCTTAGTTTTTACTAAAAAAGATTGTTTAGGAACTTGTGTTTGCACACTCAACCATATTGGATCTTTGTTCTTTCTGTGTTGCTTGCACTCGTGTAGGGCTGGCATTGGAGCTTAGATAATGCCTTCAAATGGAAACCTTAACTAGTTCTTCCTGTTTTCGAATTAGAACCCAGAAGAGGATGAATAAAGAAGTGCTTTTTTATGATTCTCTTTTACAGTAGAGAGTGTGAAGGAAGCAAGTGTTTTTTTTATATACAGGCGTGCAGGTGAAAGTGCAGGTGAATTACCCATTAACTTGGTAATTCTTTAAAAATGGAAAGCAGAAGCAGAAGAAGAAGACGAAGCAAGTCAAACAAAAAACCATGTGAAACCAATATGTTTGTATTATAAGGTAGATGCCAAATTACGACTTCCAGTTGCAGCATTTCATATTTGAATTTATTATTAATTTTGTATGAGTTGTCCCCTAATGGACCTTGAAACCTGCATCCCACACACCCACTTTACTTGTAAAGTTGGATCAAATTAAAAGTTGCTTACGAAAGTCAGCCATGTCTTTGCCCATTTCCTTCTTTTAAGTTTCAAAAAAAAAAAAAATTAATAAATAAAAATGGGCATGTTTTGCTGGCTCCTGCAGTGCCTCAGATTATACAAATCTTGTTGATTAACATACAAGACACAGTTTTATATGTTGAAATAAACCATATTTTTAATCCAATGAACACACAGTAAGTTTTATTATTGCAATTAATTGAGTAAAAAAGTTTAAAGATGTTCGGTTTCTAGTTAACCAAACAAACTTACCCTTTTCTTTTCTCTCTCTCTCTCTCTGGGTTTTGTTAATATATAATTCAAAGTTTGACAATCTGCTTTAAATGAGCCTTTGTTCCTTTAACGCAAAGGAAGTTCTCATTGAAACAAGAATTCTCGACAGTTCTGTCCCCTTCTCTCTCTCTTCTTATGGAAGCAAACACAGTCCAATGTCAACCTTCTACTACGATATTTCTTGTAGCAGTGATTTCCCATTTTCAAGCTGTCAAATTTTCAAACTCCCAAAACCCCATTTCTTAATTATCCTCAATTTCTCTCTCTTTTCTTCTTGTTCTTCCTCTCCATGCAGTCCTTTCCCTTCAATTCTCTCCCTCTCCAAACCCATAATCATAATGCCTTTAAAGCCTTGCAATTTGATTCCCCTTCTTCTTCTTCTTCTTCTTTTCTTTTCAGCTATGCTCTTTCATGGAGTTTCCCTTGATGGATATAACACCACCAAAAAGTCATCTTCTAACAGAAAACTCATGCCTGCCAAATTTGACTTCACCACCTTTCTTCAGCATCTGCATCAACGGCGGCAAGATCATCGCCGCCACCACCGACATCGCCACGCCCGCCACAGCCACCACGACGACGGTGATTCTCCCCCGGGTGCGGCGGAGATTGATCCTCGGTACGGCGTCGAAAAACGCCTCGTCCCAACTGGTCCAAACCCATTGCACCATTGAGATTGAGAGAGGTTTTTGCAATTTCCTCCAATCTTTTATATATCGTTTTCTCAATCATTCTGTGTATTATTATTATCATTATTCATGTTTGTAATCATCTTTGTCCAACCATTCTTCATCAAAGAGAATAACTTCCAAAGAAAAGAAAAAGAAAACATTATATATATATATGTATGTATGTACATCGCTTTTTCTTAAAATTTTGTTTAACATATCAAAATCATTTGTACGACCAATTCCATATGTTATACTTATTTACAGAACTAAATTAGAGAAACCCAATTCAGATAACTTCTGTATGAACCAAATTGTGTGTTTAGTTTTGTTCATACTCATCAAATTATTGGAAAAGTTGATTACTTTAATGAGATTGTTAAATTATTGAATGAATATTGTCTGATGCAAGAAATTGAAAATCAAAGGATATTAAAAATGGAGGAAGAAATGGCAGTGAAGACACGGCACGTCGCGGGAAACAAGGGAGTGAGAGTTACATCATTAGGCCAATTATTTAATGTTAATTAATTGAGGGTTAGTTGAAATAGTGATGAAACTTATGAAGATATTTAGGGCAGAAATTAATTTTCAAGGGGGTTACCAAAATGGGTTGACTTAGGAAAAAAATGAAAAAAAAAACAAAAACAAAACAAGTATGAATTCATGTGACAACTTCCCACTTCAGAATTGTGGAAAAGAAGGCTATAATTCATCACATTGGATTCTTTATTTGAAACAAATGGGAATTAGGTCAAAATTGATTGCCTAATAGTTAAATAGAGACTTTCTAACTAACAAAAACTTTTAGATGGTGTAAAAAGGTTATCAAAAGTTAGAAGCAGGGGTGTTCACGGGTTGGGTTGGGTCGGGTTGGGGTATTTTTGGGACCAACCTGAATTTTCGGGTTGAGAATTTGTGGGAACTGTCGGGTTGTAAAATCATGGACAACCCAACCCAACCCAACCCAATAAATTCTGGTAGGGTCAAGTTGGGTTGCCGGGTTTTTTTTTTTTAATTGATTAATTAATTTACTTTTGTTTTGTTTATAACATAGACCAAAAAAATATAGAAAAATCAAAATCTTAAGCACAAATTCAAATCCTAATTGACACCAACATGTAAATCCTAATTTAATACAAATTTTAAAATTTTATATTATCCAAAGTTTATCAAGTTCAAATCCAAATTGAAACCATGTAAGCTATTAAAAACTTACACCTTATTAGAGAGAGATGGGAGAGAGGAAGATGAAATTGAAAATGTTAGAAAAGAGAGAATCAAAGATTCAAAAGAGAGAGGATTGAATTGAAACATAAAATCAACGGTTTAGATTTAATGAAATGGAAAAAAAAACTTATAATCTCCAACCCGAGATTTTCAAAGGTCAACCCGAGACCCGATCAAACCCGGTCGGGTTGGGATTTTTCCAACGATTGGGTTGGGTTAAGTTCGTCGGGTTCGTCGGCTTGTCRGGTTCCTTAAACACCCCTAATTAGAAGTTCTATAGCTATATTCCCAATAAATTATTGGGAAAAATAAATCTAATTCTCTAGTTTTGATTACTTAAAAGATCTGTTTAGTAATATTTTCGTATTTTTCATTTCCTAATAAATATAAATAGAATTGTATTTAGTAATACTTTCTTGTTTTTATTTTTTATTGAAAAGTTGAGTAGCCATTTTTGTTTTTCTTCTCTAAAATTTATAATAAAAGAGTGATATTGTATATGAAATTTAATTTTTGAAATTAATATTCAATTTTTGTCTTATATTTATTTTTTTAATATTTATTAGGCATTTTTAAGTCTATTTTATTTATATTTTAAAAAATAGAAATAAGAACAAGAAACGAGAAATTAGACTATTTTCGTTTCTTTTTTTAGTTTTTTGTTTCTGATTTATTTATAAACATAAGTATTTAACTATTTATGTTTCTTTATTTCTCAATTGTGTAAGAAACATTACTAAAATTTGTATAGAAATTTTGGAAACAAAGGAAAAAAAAACAAGTTACTTGGTTATTGTTCTTCAATGAAAAAAGAGATTAAAAAAACAAGAAATAGTTATCCAATGAAATTATTGTTTTCTTTATTAGAGAAAGGAAATAAAAAATAAGAAACGAGAACGTTACCGAATGATTTTTTGATTGAGTTGTTTAAAAAATTTCTACATAATTTTGAAAATGTGAGAATTGAAAAACAAGGACAGTTACCAAAATGTTCATGATTCTCAAAAATTGGAAATAACAAACAAGAACGTTATTAAACCGTTAGATTTCAAATTTAAAAAATGCTCAGGTGGTTTGAGGGAAGAAAAAGGTAAACTATATATATATATTTTAGTACTTTTTAATCTAGACACACTTCTTTTTCTTATTAGACTTTGTTTAAACTTACCTCCAATTATTGGCATTTACTTAAGCTTAATTACGTCTCTTCTAAAACAAATCTTGTCCTAATTACTATTAAATATTTAAGAATTAAGAGAAATAAATTAAAAAATTTAGGCTTTTATGAAAAATAATAAACTGTGAGATTTTCAATGATAATCAGGACAAGATTGATGAAGGAGCAAGTATTTTAGGTTAAGAAATGCATTTTCCATCTCTAACTCTGCAATAAATGTTTCTTTTCTCAACCTTCTTTTTCTATCTCATTTATGGGTTAAGAAAATTGATTCGGGTTGGAAGAATCCCTATTTGAGGAATATTGAAGTTTTTACATGAAAAATGAAATCATTTTTTAGCTTGGTTACATTATTCTCGAGTATGTCAACCTGTTCTTGAAGGTATTTTTATCTTTTAATGTTGGTTCAATGTTAGTAAATCTAGATTAATTATTTTCTAACTAAGCCTTTTTTTTTTTTAGTACAGCTAAGCCTACTCTTATAGTGGGGATGGAATTTTGGTCATTCGTAATATTTTATATTATCAATAAAAAATTAAAATATTTGTTTCAATAAAAACAAAAAATATATAGAACAAAAATAGAAAAACAGGGAGAGCTAGGGAGGAGAGAGTTTTGACCTATTCTAGCTAAGAGGTCTTTTTTTTTTTAAGAACTATTTTATTTAAAATAACTTTAAATTCATGGTTACCCATAAAAAAATGTAGCTAGATAATTAATCTCATTATTGTCGCATTCTTTAGACTTGTAAAATTTAAATTAAAATTACATAAAAGAATAACAAGCGACTTTCGAAATTTTAATGATTTATAGAGAAGAGAAAAATATATCGATACAATAATTTATATAAGAAATATTATCTATATATAATAGCAATGTATAAATTGAAAAGAAAAATAAGCTTTAGACATTGTCGGCAACAATTAGATCCTAAAACAACAACAAATGTATATGTACAAATTAGAAAAAAAAATCTTTTCAAGTTCAAAACAATTGAGTGATATTATTACGACATTTAAAAGGGTTGGAAAGGAGGAGTATGGCGCAAGCTAACAGTTAACATAAATTTCTATTATTTAGTATATAATAAAAAGTGTTTTAAATTGAAGGGAGCTCGAATCCTCTTATACCTACTATAGATCCACCCATGTCTAGTAAAAAATATCGACGTCTAATTATTTGAGTTATGATCCGGCCAAGATTGATAAGAACTTTTCGTACTTGTAATAAAATCTTTTTTGTTCAACATTTAAAATAAGTATATAATCTTCTAAACAAATGACTTGTAAGGTATGTGTATATAAAATCGAGTATAATTCAGTAAATCAAGATATTGGTATGTGCATATAATCCAACTAGTTAAGACATTCACAATTTCGAATTTGAATCCAAATTCGAACCATGAAATTTGTAATATTATATTCTTAAAAAAAAAGAAAGAAAAAAACTGGTCCCTTTGGTCAACTTTAATCTATCCTTCGAGATTAATTTTCTTGTCACATATATGGGCCGGGCTTCCTTGTAAAATTAATAGAGTTAGTGACTGGCTAGCCAACTCATGCATCTGAGGCCCAAGCCCACATTATTGGCCACTGGACTCGTTTTTCTCTTTGGGCTGATTCTAAATCTATTTTTAATGTTAATTAATATTTTTCTTTTTAAATATTGTTAAAATAAAAGTATGGCAGAAGATTTAGTAATGATTTAATATGGTATCAAAAGTAGAAAACTTCATTTGATATTAATATATATGACTTCATTTGATAACCCTTTCATTTTTCATTTTCTATTTTTTAAAAATTAAGTTTAGAAACTGTTGATGCGTGGATTTCGATCCTCCGGTTCACTACCGCATCCACCAAACTTGTTGATTCGGGACTAGTACCTGCAAAATTAAATCGAGCTAAACCGGTGTGACTCTAGTCACACGGGCTCCGATGCTTAAGTTAGCAAGATAATAACGTAAATGTAGTCAACTCTCTTCCCCCTATATCTCTAAGGCTGGATCAATACTTATAGCGTGAAGTTGTTCCAGAATCTTCCGTAGCTAACCCTAATTCATCGTTGCAGGGCCTGGGCGACATCGTCGATCGAAGACGGGGGATCACTGGCTGGGCCGTGGGCCGAGCCCCGGGTCGGGGCCGAGCCCTTCGTGGCTCAGTGGGCTTCCCTCTGGTCGCTTTCCTCATTCTCTGCCCCGGCGTTAGGTCACTCTTTTGGCCGGCCCGTTATGTCCCGGGCCGGTCTTCCCCAATCAGACTTCAACTCCTTGTCTCGTTTCGGGTCATTTTCGTTCTCCATAACAGAAACTTTACTTTTCCTCGACTTATTATATAGTTTTTATAAAGTTTTTTAATTAAAAAAATAGTTTTAAAAAACGTGTTATTTATTTATTTTTTTTAAATTGACCAAAATTTTATATATGTTTTATGGAGAGGTAAAAAAATTACCATTGAAATTATAAAAAACAAAACAAGCATACATTTTAAAAACAAACTAGTTATCAAACAACACTTGTATTAACGATGAAATATACTTTAATCAATAAATTAAAACTCTTAGATTTAATAAAAAAGATAAAAAGTAAGTTTAGTAGAAACCATGGAATAACTGAAATAAAACTACATGATTTGAAAGGTGTTTGAAATTAAAATTTAAAACTATGCTTTCATTGTAAACTTGATTTCTCGATATTGTCTCATAATTGATATAATATATAGTCAACGCTTAACATCTCATCAAAATTTTAAAAAATAAAATAACTTTACAATTATGGGTCTGGATGCAAAAGGTTTGTTTGTAAAATTTAATTAATCACGTTTTTATATAACTTATTGGGGACAAAGAAATGGAAGGTAGCCTACCATTTTCTTTTGGGTCTTCATCAAAGTTTTTCCATTTCCATAATACATTGTTTGTTTGGTTACCTTCCACAATTTCATTCTAAATTTAATTTGTTTAATTTGTAGTCTTCTTCAATTTGAATACCTATTTCAAGAAAGTTACCTAGAAAATACAAGGCCCAAACAAGAGAAGAATTTGGCAAACCACTAGAGGTGACTATCGTATGAACTAATTTATTTGCTTTTAAACGAGAAAATGTACAAGTTTAATGAACAATTATTTGGATTTATTATATAATTAAGGGTAGAATGATATTTAGGTTCGTATATTTTTAGTTTTGGTTTATTTTAGTCATTGTATTTTTTATTTTGATTAGTATTTTCAAAATGACATTTTGAAATCTGTACACTTGAAAATGACTATTTTAATTCTTGTTATAAAAACCTTAACACAAATTACCTACTCAACGAAAACTATTTGAAAAAAGGTTATGACTACATTACAAGTAATATATTGAGTGCAGTGGTGTATTGAAATTGTGATCGTAAAAATGAGATAGGAACAAAAGAGACTAAAAGAACCTCTTGAAAATATGGAGACTGAAATAGATAAAAATTGAAACTGACGCAAACAAAAATATACATTTTAAAAATAAAAGAACAAAAATATAGAGGACACGATAATATTTTAATCTGTAATTAAAATATATAGTGGGATGAATCAATTAAAGTGATGAATTATTATATAAATTTATCATCACCTGCCTCTCTTTAAATTATGGCCTCAAGAACAGAAGTGGGAGCTACTTGGCCCGATCCTCTGTTGACACTTCTCATCGACTACTTTTACACCTTCTTGTTTCCAATACGTGGCAACTTTTGATTAGCTCTCACTTTTTCTTTTTTCTTGGGATATTTGTCAGAGTACATTATACAAAATATTAAACCGTTATAATTTTGGCAATAAGAGAAGAAATGTTTTTTTTTTATAAAAGGAAAATTAACATCTGTCAACTTTTAAATGATGATAAGTAGATAAATATTATTCTATTATATTCCTTAAAGTGTGTTTATTTAGTGTAGTAATGTGTTGGAGGTGATTTCTCAGTAGTCACGTATCGACATGTAGTATGTCAAATAATAAAGAGTCTGATGATTCATACATGGAAGGAATTGTAGCTCGAGCCTTGATATATAAAGGTCGAATTGAATTACTGGAGATGGTCACGACTCATGTTCCATGTCAAGCTGACCTAATTAGCTAGTCTCACGCCTTGATCGTCTGAGCTATTATCTTATCTGAGCCCAAATCTTGTACCTCAGACATTTGAGTTATCAACTGAGCCGATCAACATGTACTTTTACAGACATAGGAGTATGACACCATCCACGGCAACATGCCGCGATTCTCTTGCCATCGAAGAGCCATTGGAGGCTTGTCGAAAGTCTCATTAGAAGCTCCTCTTATAAAATAGAAACCTTCAATCTCATTTTCAGGTATGCAAAAATATACTCTCTCTCAAGTGTAGTTTTAACTTGAGCGTTAGAGTGCTTACTACTTCTTTTTAATTTACAGGTCCCTTATTTGCATCGCTTCAGCTCGTTCAAGAGAGTCAGCTCGATCGTTGTCGACCTCCACCAACTTAGTCAAATTCTTGATCAAACAAATGTGAAATTAAAAAGAAAAAACTTTCAACTACATTCCTAATTTTTCTAAATAAATTTAAACATTATTACTTTGCATACACGAACTAATACAACCATTTCTTACGAGTATTATAGAAACAAAAAATAGAGAAAATAAATTGAAGTAAAAGTTTTAATAGAATCAAAGTAGGAATTAAACATTATATATATTAATGGAACCCTAGAAAACAATTGAAAGTTAGTTGGTATGGGTTGAAACTTAAAAGGGAAATGGTCAAACGAGAAATCTGCAATACTGCAATCCAGCTAGGCAGAACTAGAATCATATACATAACTGTTTGTCAAAGTAAAACAAAGTCCATTGTCCACGGTCAAACCCACACACCCTCCCTCCCCTTCTCTCCTACTTTTACCATTAATTTTCCCTGCTCACAATCAAAAAAACAAAAAACAAAAACAAAAAGTTCTATTTGATTTGGTAATATATATATATAACCTCCAGTGCTCCACATACAAACTAACTCCAATCCGGCCATTTCTTTCTCTTCTAAATCAATAATGGGCTTCTCGACGGCGGAGCGCGTTCCCACGGCCGACTCCGGCGCGGCAGCGAAGAGCCCATCCACAGGCCTGCTGGCCTCCATTACAGCTCTCGCGGCTCGGCTTAGCAGGAAGCTGAGGACCAAGCAGGCGAGTCCGAGCCCCAGGTCGCCGCTGGCTCGGCCCAAGCACATGCTGAAGACCATCAGCCAATCCGCCATCACTTTGGTCCACAAGAAAAAGAGCAAGCCCCAGAAGGACCATGACGAAGAAGAAGAAGAGTGGGGACACGGCGGTGTCTGGCAGAGGGCCATCTTGATGGGCGACAAATGCCAGCCCTTGGATTTCTCCGGTGCAATTTACTACGATAATTACGGCAACAAGATGGACCAATTGCCTCCCCGTTCGCCACGTGCCAGTCCTTTACCCGCTTATCTCCTCGCAAAAACTGCAACCTGAGACTTTCAACCCAGACCCGACCCGACCCGGCTGTGAAATTTTTCATCATTTTCGGTTTTACTCACATCCTCCTAATTTAAAATATTTGTGTTCTCTGCATTCATATTGCTATCAGTGGTCACTTTGGTGACCCCGGCACCCACGGGTGACAATAGGATCTCATTTGTAAATACAAATTTTAGGTTAAATCATAAGTCTAGTCTCTGCAGCGCCATTTTTGTGATAATCGTATATTTGTTAGTTTTTTTTTATCAAGCTTTTGCTTTTGATTTACATAATTACTTGAATGTTGTTATAAATGATAGGTTGATTGGTGACGATTCACAAAAAAATTTCCTCTATTTGTGTGTATTTCAATAATTTTAGTTCATGCAAGAAAGAAATTAATTTTATACTTGAAAGACATGGAAAAAAATTAGAAAAATAGCACAAAAAGAAATTGTTCAAATTTTACAAAAATGACATAAGTGGTAAATTTATACCATCCCCAACTAATAATCACGTTTGTAGTTATATATATATAGATGTAAAAGTGATAATATTTTTACCAATAATTTTCTACGAGTGTAATTTCTAGGAAAAAAAAAGAAGAAAGAAAGAGAGAGAAAAGAAAATATATATATATATATATTTATTCTAGGAGAAAAAAAATATGAAAGAGAGAGAGAGAAAGAAATTTATATTTATATTATATTTTATAGTCCACTTTCCTTGCAAAATGTCCACACCTTACAAATATAAATAATGCATATATGGTTTAAAAAAATGGGGGCATTTTAGTCACTATCATAATGGTCAAGGCCATAGGGTTTGAACCCTTCAAACATCTCACTTGGGCATAAAAACAAACTTAAAGAATAATTTGATTTTTTATTATCAAGTTAATTAAAATTAAAGAAAAATAATTAGTCTCCCTTTCCCATGTCACAATATCTTATTTTTTACAATTCCAAATGCAGATATGTCATTTTCAAAGTCTTATTTTTAAACTTTCCATTTTAATGCAAATAATATTAACAAATTATCAAATACTTATATTTGTATGAATTTTAGATTAAAGACTCAGCCATCTAGTTTGGGTTATAATTAAATTTGTTTTTATAGCTCAACTAATAACAATTTTTTTATTTAATGTATATCATAAACTACATTGTATTCATTCATTTTCAACTTATATTTTGTATGTAAGCTAACTGCTAATTGTTGACTTTTTATAAACCGATTAGTTTAGAATTAAACTATAGTTAAAATTTAAACAGTAAACAGTTCTCAATTCAAAAGAAAAATATTAAAAAAAAATCAAAATAAAAATTATTTTAGATATCTTATCTCTACAAATGAGATATTATATACATATATTCTTCATTCCTGTATGCATATGCAACTCATTCATGTATAAACTCAAATACACTTTTTTTAATTTTATCCATCTTTCCATTTTTAGGTCTATTATTCTTGTTTTTTTTCCTGTTTATTGTTTATTATTATTTTTTAATTAAGAAAAGTAGAACTAGATTCGGTAACAGTTTAATTATTTATGATTGTTTTTTTTATTGAAAAATAGATGGAAATATATTTGGTTAAGAATTCCTTGTTTCTTGTTTTACAAGTTTTATTCAAATTTAATTTTTTAAATTAAACATTCCTATGTTAATGTTTTTACTATATTATAGAAAATGAAACTAACGGGAAACAAAAAAAAAATAAACTTGATTGTGATGTTTTAAAGTTTGTACACAATTGAAAACGATTCTTAAAATTGAAAATGAAAAATAATAATAGTTATCAAATACTTATATTTGTAAAAGATTGAAAACAAGAAAGGAGAAACGATAGATCAGTATATTCTTCCGTATAAAGTGAGGGTCCGTCTTCTTTCCATATTCCACTAATAAAATCTCATAATACCATACTATTTTATCTATAATACGTAGTTTCTTTATGATACATAATTTATTCAATAGGGAGAGAATTTCATGATAATTTAAAATAGGAAATGATTGTGGAATTTTACTAAACATGCCCTTAATTAGTTCCTCATTTCCAACCCTATGAGATTTTCATTCTTAAACATACCATTCTGTAATATAAAACTTAACATCTTAGTATATTAGTATATGTATGTAATGAATAATTAACAAGTAGATGAGAAGTGAAATAGTCAGCTGGTGGGTGACAATTAAAGTCAATGTTAAAGATTTTTCTGTAGCTTTTGATGAAGGAGGTTGAAAGACCCAGTCACACATATATATTATATATATTTGATACAATACCTAGTCATATTTTCTAGAAATTGTTATATATTTTTGTTAGCTTCAACTTCAAACCTATCATTGTTCAAGAGGGTTGGAAATTTGAACATTCGATTCATGACCTTTTTATATAATATAGAGTTCTAGGGGAGGATTTTGGATATCATTTCTTTTTCGGGATCATCAAAAATAATTTTAACATTACTAGAATCACTTTCACCTATGTTAAAATCACTATTGATCACTCATGATATCATTTATAATTCTCACGGGAAGTAATTTTAAAATAATTCCCAAAACAGACCTTTAGGTATACTCATATTAAGTGATCTTATTATCCTCTCGACTGAAATTAAATGATTTTACATGTTAATATATATGTTCCTTTGAGAATGTGCATACCCCCTCCCTTAATATATGAAACTTTATATAATCTCTATTCTCTTCCACTTCCCTCGATAGTAAATAAGGGATGACATTGAAATATATATCTATGTCAAAGAAAATTTTCAAACCGTGTTTGTATAAAAAGTGTTAATTGGTTTGGGCTCAACTTATCTTTAATATTTTTAATATGAAGGTTGTATTTGATAAGAGGAGTGTTTCTTGTGTGGCAACCCTAGAAGAAAACAGTTATATATATAATATATGACCAAACTTGTCCATATTCATTCAAACTCATTTTTAAAACTAGCCATATAAAAAGGTCGAGAACAAAAAAACAAAAAATATTCTAACTAGTCAACTAAAAATATTAGTTGAAAGGCTAGAATTCCCTAAAACGTTGCTACCTCTTTGCATTATATATACATCTCTCTAAATATATATAATGCAAAAAATATCTTATTAATAACCACAAACTAAAATTAAAGTTGCAAGATTAATAACAAACTAACTGCTATATAAATCAGTTATTCCCGCAATATCATCTTAAGTCATGTATTTGGTGGTTCCGAGACAAATGTAGGCATACATTATAGCCCGGCACCAGCCAATTTTGGTCCACGTTGAAGTGAAGTCTCCCATCCGTTGGGAAGAAAGAGTGCGCCAAAATGGGCGTGCAGAAAGGCACCCCATCGCCGTCCCCTTTCTCGAAGCTGATTTTCACATCGACAGTCGCTTCGGTTGCCTCCGAGAACGTGAAATTGCTAACACTCGCCCACGTGTTTAAAGAGCATCTCACTGGCTCCTCAAAGTTTAAAGGAAAGTCATGAATGAATGCGTAGGTGAGGTTGTACTTGGCGGGTGGCCATTTGGGCCTTCCAGGAGCGATGATGTAATCAGGGTTTACGATGTCGGGATGCCCACAACGAGGCGTCGACAATAGTGTTAGCGTCTCGCATCCAAGATACCGGTAGTGTTGAGGTGGTAGTTCTTTTGGTATGTTTTGAGGGCGGATTCTAAAGCATCATCGAATGTGTTGTGGGCATGAGTTGGAAGATCGATTAAGTAGCCAAATTGTTTGAGGTAAAGCTTTACGTGGTGGACTCCTTCTACGGTGTCGCCCTTTCGAGAGCCTTGAAGATGCTCGTGAGGGAAATTAAATGGGTATGGAGATGGAAGTGATTTGTGGGGGTAGAGATCACGTATGGATATCGCATTTTTTGCCATGGAGGCAAGGAGGAGAGTGAAGAGGAAGAGTTTGAGAGATTTGAAGGCCATTGTATTTTTAAGGATAGAAAGAAGTAAAAATGCTTGATGAAGTTGAATAATATGGCTTGGGTTTTATAGACTTAATTATCTGTTTGTTAGAGGATTTTGGGAATTGTTATAGGAGTTTGAATGAATTTTTCTCTTTTGTTCAAGTCAAATTCTGTTTAGTTGTTGACTAAAATAGTTGGACCTTCCGGATTTTTATCACAATAATTAAATCACTCTCTTATTTATATTTTCTTTTTGTTTTCAAGTTACTTCGAGATAAAAAAAAAATAGTTTCATCACATCTTTCTACTAGACATATCCTTTCTACAAATTTGGTAAGTGGCTAGATCTAAACACAATCATCATCAGATCTTTTTTTTCCTATATATCTCTCCAATCTTCTTATTTGTTAATTAACTTGTTTTTATAACAATGCAAATATTAGATTTTTAGGCTTATAAATTATTTAAAAAAAAAACCATTCAACTGGCTCAAACGTTAAAAAAAATAAATAAATAAAAAGAAGATAAGATAACGGAATTAATTAGAAGAATAACAAAATAAATTTACATTATTCCGTGCATATACAAAAGGAAAATATGTGACTTCTTAAAGGATCTGGTTCCATCAATTCAGAGAGAGAAATACAAAAACATAAATATTTTTATAAAAATTAATGAGTTGTTAATTTTTTAATGGTAGTGAGTTGTCCTCACAATTAAGGAGCCAAGTACTTTACTAAACAAATATCATTTTTTTTTTTTTTGAGGTGGTATGATTATAATAAATATTTTTCAAGTTAAAATTCAAAAATAAAATAATCTAAAAAATTCAAAGACAAAATAAAATTTAAACCTAAACTAAATTCCTATGAGAAGCGTGATTCCAATATTTAATACAAAAAATGGATAGCTGTCAATTTTCAATGTAAAATATTTGTTGTGGGTATATATGGAAAAAAGAAAGTTCGAATTTTCTGTTTTTTTTTAACAAAAAAATAAAATAAAAGTTTAAGATTGTTTTCTATTTCTCCAAACGAAAAAAAGCAAATACATAAATAGCATAAAAAAATTATGTTTTCTTGAAAGTTAAAAAGTTTACGAAGCGTAACTTAAATCCGTAAAATAACTTTAAGAAAATAAATTTATACTATTTTAAAAATAAATTATTTGATTTTATGTTATGAAATGAAATTTCAGGAAAAAAAAAAAGAGGTAAAATACCTTTTTACGGATTCCAAGCTGACGTGGAAATTTGAGATATTAAATGGAAGATGTAATTACTTTAAATGGTCTGGGAAGAAAAGGACAGCCATTCAGCCTTTCAACGGGAACGGCGTCGTATTATATTTGAGTTCCCTCTCATTTCTTCATCAAACCGGCATTCCCGTCCTCTGTAGCCTTCAAGAAATCCTCTGTTTTTTTTTTCTCTTTCTGATCTTTCTTTCTTGAGCCATGCCTTCATCGATAATTGTTCTGAAGATTCCAACTCGAGCAGTGACGACGACGGAGATGAATATGAAGGCAGCCGGAAAGTCTATTGCCGAATGGGGCTTTTACTTCCTCGAGAAGCCGATTTCCACGAAGAACATCGAACTTGTTTGGCAACTCGTTTACAGGAAAATCAGAAACCCTAGGCCGAAAAATGGGGGGAGAAAATGCCAATTGAGGGAAGACAATCTTAGATTGGTGGAATACGTGGCTGAATCATCAACATTGCGAGAGTAGATCAGTGGAATGCGATTGAAAAAGAAGGAAAGAAAAACGATGGTGATAAATTTTCGATCTGCAATTGTATTTGAGTGCACGAACAAGAGGTCGCGGATTGTTTGGAGCTCGAAATTGCATCGGATGTTCACAGAAGCATTGAGCAAACTCATCGTCTATTTCATCTTCTTCTTCGAGTGAGTTGGACGAAATTGGTTGGTGAAAATTTTGGGTTCTAATGGGTAATAATGGGTTTGGAGTCCTTAGAATTCTTGTGGAGATTAGAAGATTTGATTATTTTTTTCCTCTTTTAGAAAGTATTTGGAAGTCTTGGAGTTAATAACTTTTAAAATAGTTATACACGTTACATGGAGTCAAACTTTTATTAGTGTTATTAACGTAATTTTGATGTGATTTCTTTCTTCTTCGATTTTTTTCCGTTTTCTCTCTCAATTGATTGGAAATTCAGCATTAGGAGAAGTTCAACCTTTCTTTTAGAACTATTTTCTAAAAGTAGTTGAGCAAACTATTAGTTTTTCAAAACTTAGAACCGAAATATAGAAATATAGTTTTCAAAGTTTAAAAACGAAACATGTCATTGAGACTAAAAATGTATTTTACTAAAATATCTCTGTTCCTTTCAAAAGAAAATTTAATGGAGATTTTTTTATTGCAATTTATGGGTTTTATAGATGTTTAATTTGTCAATATTTGTATTAATATAGTAATTACGTCCCAAAATAAAAAGAAAATACAGCTTTAATTAAAAATAAAATAAAAATATTATTATTTTTCTATTAATATTCTTTGCAAACACCATAAAATACAGGCTATGGACTAAATCTTATACTATCTATTAGCATATTCTGATCATGGTATTACATTATAATTATAATGTTGAGTTTGTTTGATGCTGAGATATTTTTTTAGATCATTTAAAAAAAAAGAAATGATACCTGAAATCCACTTAGGGTTAGGGTAGGTTTGTAAATGATTTTAGAATGACTAGAATCACTTTCACTCATATTAATATTAAAGTGATGATATTTTTAGCAATAATTGATATGTTAGGAAGTGATTAATAGCTAATTGACTTGGACTCAACTTATTTTTAATATTTTTAATATGAATGTTTCATCTTAATAAGAGAGTTTTTGGGTGTGCCGTGAAATTAAACCCTAAAAAAACAAGACAAAAACAGTTATATATATATAATATTGGATGAAAACTCAAAAAATTAAAAGGAAAAAAAAAGCAAATATAGAGTCCAAAGAAAACAAAACTATGCCAAACAAAACATAACATTCAAATTCATTTACAAAACTAGCCGGAAACATCTCTCTAAAAAGCTGCTACCTCTTTGCATTATTACACGGATTAAAATCAAAGTTGCAAGATTAATAACAAACTAACTACTATATAAATCAGTTATTCGCGCAATATCATCTTGAGTCATGCATTTGGTGGTTCCGGGACAAATGTAGGCATACATTATAGCGCACTCATCTTGGTTGTGGGCGAGGCCAAGAATATGTCCAAGTTCATGTAGCGCCACCGTCTGCACATCTACAGCACCAGCCACAGCCCCCCACGCCCAATTTTGGTCCACGTTGAAGTGAAGTCTCTCATCCGTCGAAAAGAAAGAGTGCGCCAAAATGGGCGTGCAGAAAGGCACCACATCACCGTGGTCCCCTTTCTCGAAGGGGATTTTCACATTGGCAGTCGCTTCAGTTTATCGAACGAGGAATTTTAGGGATTTTATTGAGATTTTGGGGAGAAATGAATGTGGACGGAATCGTGTCTGATCGGAGGCTGTGTGCGTTGCAGGCGGCAGTTTCTTGTCTTTCTCTCCTCTTTCTCTCCTCTTCTCACGTAATCGGGGTTTACGATGTCGGGATGCCCGCAACGGGGCTTCGACAATAGTGTTAGCGTCTCAATGTCCAGAATACCAGTGGCATTGAGGTGGTAATTTTTTTGGTATGTTTTGAGGGCGGATTCTAAAGGGTCGTCGAATGTGTTGTGGGCATGGGCTGGAAGATTTGTCAAGTAGTCGAAATGTTGGAGGTAAAGCTTTACATTGTGGATTCCTTCTACGGTGTCACCCTTTCGAGAGTCTTGAAGATGCTCGTGAGGGAAGCTAAATGGCGATGAGACTGATTTGTGCCGGTGGAGATCCCGTATGGATATTGCATTTTTTGCAATGGAGGCAATGAGGAGAGTGAACAGAAAGATTTTGAGAGATTTCAATGCCATTGGATTGTCAAGGATGGAAAGAAGTAGAAATGCTTGATGAAGTTGAATAATATGGCTTGGGTTTGAGTGATTTATAAAGACTTATTTGTTTGTTAGAGGATTTTGGGAATATTGTTATAGGAGTTTGAATGAATTTTTCTCTTCTTTCAAGTCAAATTTGGTTTGATTTTCGACTAAAATAGTGGGATCTTCCTTAATTAAATTACTCTCTTATTTGTATTTTCTTTTTAGAGAAAAAAAAATAATCACATCTTTTACTACTTGCAACCTTTCTAGTTTCAATATAAGTACAAATTTGGTAAGTTGCTAGATCTAAACACAATAATTATGAATTGTATTAAGATTTACTTTGTGTAATAAGTTATGTTGTTATTCCTATGACTCCTTCATTTATTGTGTAACGATCATATTCATAAGGTCTATATATAATGATCTTATGTTGATTAATAATATTGAACAAGAGTAATTTACTCTCATATCTTAATATGGTATCTGATGAAAGTTTTCTCTCTGGGGTTAGTTTTCGTAGGTTTTTCTTTTAATAAAGTCTCAACTGTCTTTGTTATCTCCCGCTCCATTTCTGTTCTTCGTTCTTGCTCCACGTCATGACTACGCCATTGATTCTTCAATCTCGATTGTTGAATCTCATATCTTAATAGATTGTCTATCTAATATTCTTATTTGCCAAATTGTTTCTACAATAATACAAATATTAGACTTTTAAGTTTATAAATTATTCAAAAAAAAAATCATTCAAGTGCATCAAACATAAAAAGAAAAAAAAAAGAGTGAGAAGAAGATAACCAAATTAATTAGAAGAATAATAAAATAAAATTACATTGTTTAGTATATAAACAAATATCATACAACATGATTTATTTTTCTTTATTTTTCGTTTGAAGTTGAATGATTATAATAAATATTTTAAAAGTTAAAATTCAAAAATAAAATAATCTAAAAATGTCAAGGACAAAATTAAATTTAAACCTAAACTAAATATTCCAGAAAATAAATTTATGCTACTGTAAAAATATATTATTGGATTTATGTTATGGTCCTATGGAATGAATTTTGGAAAAAAACTAGGTCAAATACACTTACCTCTAAATTTGAGGTTGGTTTCTATTTCACTATAAATTTTAAAAATTGAAAATTTGATTCTTGACCTTTGGAAAATAGATCTAAAAGGTCTCTAGAGTCAAACAAAGGTTTGATCATCCATATAACATAAAAAGAAGAAAAATTCAAAATATTTGATATATTTCTCTTTGAATGAGATCTCAATTTCAACCGACCGATTAATTAGATTAATTAGAGATCTTACCATTGAAATCTCTCTTTTTCAAATCTAATTCCTCCACCATCGTGAATTCTAAGCTAACATTCAAACCTTAAAAATGGCGAACGCTGCCTATCATATTTGAGCGCCCTTTCATTAGTGTTAAAAAGTTATAAAAGTTACTTATTGATATAACTTATAATTATTTTTTTTGTTTATCATTTCCTATAAGTCCTAACCTTCTTAAAATGGTTGTATAAGTTCTACGGAGTCAAACTTTTATCAGTGTTGCTAACAAAATGTTGATGTGACTCATTTCTTCTCGCCAATTTTCTGTTGATTTATTGCTCTCTAATTTCTCCCCCAATTGATTCGGGGCGAAAGATTTTGATGTAAACCCCCAAATGAAGTAAAAAAAAAAATCCCCACCCTGTAACTTAGATTCAGAAGAATGTGAAAGACTCAAGAATTTTTTAGAACTATTTTTTAAAAGTAAGTGAGTAAACCATCAATTTTAAAAATTTAGACCGAAAATGTATTTTACTCAATTTTTTTTTTAAATGGGACATTATTTAAACTAAATGCATCATCGCATAATACCTCAAACCACATTATCTTCCCCCTATTTTATTTTTTTGTCTAGCTTCTTTCGTCTCTATCGGAGACCCGTATTTGATCTAATCCAAAATGATTCGTTCATTTATGTATCTACAATTCAATATAGATAGATATAACATGTTTATATTGGTCCATCTTTGTATTATTTTTCTAGTGCAATTTTGAATACTTAAACAGTTGATTATTTTTTTCGTCTTAACTTCCACCTTTCATAATGAAAATTGAGAAATACTTCATTATGATATGAATTGCATTTCTCAAACCACGTTATCTAAACGAAATACATCATAAAATATCACCTAATACCTGAAACTTGCACGTCAACCTTCATTAACAGAAGTTTGCTCTTTAAGGACTTTTTAGAATATTTTTTGAATGTCGAAAATTAGACCGTTAATTTTTGAAACTTTAAGTGCATGAAAATTTATCCAAAAATTCATGGAAAAAAGTTATATTTTAAAAATGCAAAAATGTAATTTGCAATATCAGAAAACTATGGGGAGTAATTAGCAATATCAGGAAAAAACAATTCATCTTCCACGAAGGCCATTCTTGCCCCCCAAACCCTACAGCCTCCCGCGGTAAACCCGCTGCCTCTTCCATTGCTGTCTGTGGACTTCGATCACTCCGCATCAAATTTTCATCGGATCCGCCGGCAAGTCCGTTGTGATGGATGCTCGCCGCGGGTCCCGCGTCGTCATCGATCCCAAAGTCCGGCAGGTCGGGTTCTTCACCCCCGATGCACCGCCTTCACCGGGTCGGACCACCACCGCCCCGCCCGACTGCACCACTTCACAGTTATCCGACTCTCCGACCAGCAATTCTTTATCTCCGGTGATGATTCCGCCCCCGCGTCATCCTTCCGATAACCTTGCCTCCCGGACGGCTGTTCTGCCGGTTCCGGCTTCCGGAAATTGGAGGCATCCTGAGGATCAGGTTCCTGTTGGGAGCCACAATCCCTCAGAAACGTTGCTCGGATCGTCGCCGTTGGCATCGCCTTCGAGTCGACTTGGAGGTGAAGAGTTGGAGTTCTCGGAGGATTCGGCGGCCTCCGTCTTGCTTCGGCGGAGTAGTTCCGGGAAGTTAGCCTCAAGCTGTCCGGGCGTCGGATTCCACATGGCGGCTAAGTCTTCTGCGAATTTACAGACGATGCCTGCTAATAGTATGAGGACATCGGGAACTAATAAGCCTGCTGGAGCCACAGGTGAGGCATTGCTTTGGCGAAATTCATTCCTTTCCCCCCTTTTTATCTTCTTTAACGCGGAAGTTGTTTAGTGCTTGTTTGTGTTTGTTTTTTGCTGGGTCTATATTATTTTGTTGAAAGCATTCATTTTTATTGAGGCATAAGTTTCTAGCAAGGTATTGTCTTTATACATCTATTTTATCTTCCCCTTTCTGCTGTACATTATGTTTTATATTTATGAAATGATTGTGTTTTTCTTGGACAATGGTGCTACGAGGCGAAATTTATCTTAATTTAATTCACTGTCGTTTCACGGCAGAGGGAGATTTCTGTTCCAAGTCGATTTTTTTTCCGCTATTGTTTAGGATATTTGGTGGGAAAGGAAGAAGGGAAATCTATAAGGGTCCGGAGGTTTCAGAAAGGAACTCGTAGTTTGGCTCATTTTGACACCACTATTTCGACTTTTATTATAAAATATTTTTTGGTAATTATTCGTTAATGTCAATTTGTAACCATTCGGGTCCCTTTTTGCAAATTTGGACTCCTTGATGTAGGTTTGTCTCTCGTGATGCTGTTGTTCCTGTATTTTCATTGTTTCTAATTAAAAATGATTATTTCATAAAAGAAACAAGAACCAGAAGAATTCCGAAGAGAAACCCTGCTATTTATCTCTCTCCTAGTTGGTGCTCTGTGTGAAAGGAACCAAAATAATATGGGCCATTTGTTCACGTTTTTCCCGTTTGGTGCAGCTATTGAGTGATCTTCTTTGCGTGGGTTTAGCTTGTTCCTAGTGCATCCCAATTCCCAACAGCTCTTCTAACTTTATTCATCAAAATTTTCATGGCCATCCCTTCAAAAAAGAATTCGGAGCATCACGGCTAAATGGCTCTAGCGCTATTTTCTAAGTGAATTTAGATTGGAAGGAACAACTTGAGAGCTAAGAACATGTCAGCTTCTGGGGTTGGCTGTGGTTTCTAGTCCAATTAGAGTTTCTTCAGGCCTCTGTAAACACTTTCATACTTGTTCCCAGCTTGTATGTTTGCCAATTAGAGTGCACTTTTATGAGCTCCGAGGACTTCTTGGTGAATTTCTTGTCTTACGTAACATGCATGCATTTAATTTGTTTAGACTTTTGGGATTAGACAATCGAGGTAGTTCTTCACAACTTGTTTTGGGGTTTTCATGTCTGCTTATCACCCAAGATGCCTTTGTGAGTGCATATCAATAATCAAATCATGAGTACTTCATTTTCGTTCTTTGGACGGAAGAACCCAAAATTTTTTTCTCCTCAACATTTGGCTTTTTTGGTCTAAAAAGGCTTTCTTCAAAGGGATGGTGCTTTCTATAGATTCAACATTGTATTTCTGGGACGAGAATGCTTCCTTTTTCTCTAACTTCTACCTTTAACTGAGTGAGTGTATATCTAAGCACGAGATGCTTTCTGTTGGATGAAGCTTGGGTTAAGAGAATGAATCTTGACTGTTATTTGGATGGAAAAATCCAAGATGTATATTTTCCTTGGGAGCTATCTTCTTGACTACACCCTTATTAGTTTAGTAGAATGGGAGAAAGGAATGCTTCTCTCTCCAGAAATATTATTGAGATCTCATTTACACTTCTTTCTCTTCATAATTTGATAAATTAGCTCTCGCAGAAAAGATTGGAGGAGCATCTGCAGAGGTTAAAGATCATCATGCATCAAGTTCGAAACCCTTGAAGACTAAAACCACGAAGGCTGAAAGACGGGCTTTACAGGAGGCTCAGCGAGCTGCAAAGGTTTCTGCTAAAGGTACAATTATTCAATAACCCCTGCACATGCGCACATACAGAGACCGAGAAAAAAATAATAATAAAAGAGGGAGGAAAACACTGCTATAATGTAGAGTTGATTACTCAGAAATGTGAAGTCTATTACCATGTCCAAGTGGGTTCAAGGAATTGAAAGAGTTTTCTCATTGAACTTATTTTCTTCAAATATGCATCCGCTCTAAACTATTTGAGAAATTGAAAGATAGTAAAATAGTGATTACGTTTAATTAACCTTGTGTTCATACTATTTAAATTGTTGATGGGAAAAATTTTAAATTCCCGTTAGTATTGCAAAATGGGATTAACAAATGATCATTTAATAGAAAAATGGATTAGAAAAAACATGGTAGTTCAATATTTCTTTTTGGAGAGGCCGTTTTAGTTTATGTAAAAACACTGACACACATACATATTACAGAGCCAATTATTTGAATTACCCCTGTTCTGTTTCCCACCATAGTTCAATTAGATTCCTTTTTTCCCTCAGTTCCATCTTTAAGGTTTTAGGTAGTAAACCATTTTTATGCAGATGAATGATATCTACTGCCTTGTAATTTTCATTATGTTTCATTTCGCTTATGTATTGTAGTGTTGCTTGTTGATTTGAGTGACACCTTGCCATGTGCTTATTAGCTGTTAACACCTGGATTAGCTATTCCCATGTGTAAACATGTTAATCGCTGGTTCATCTCCTTTTATAAATCCTGGTAGATACATACCCTCTTTGATTTTTCTTTGGTTGTGTATAACAGAAATTTTTGGTAAGCTTGTTTAACTATTTCATATTGGTTTATTTAAAAAAAAAACAAACAAAAGGTGAAGCAAATAAGTCAGGTACTGCCTCTGGGACAACAGCTCCTAGTAAAGTTGGGAAACAGCCTTCAACAATAAAAGGTGGTCCTGCCACAGCTTCAGTTGCATCTGCTGATAATAGAGGAGGTGATCGTATGGTTGATAAAGAAAGGAAGAAAGATGCTCCCCCTCCACGTATGCAATTTGATGATAAAAATCGAGTAGAAAAGGCTAAAAAGCGAGCTGTGTTCAATCAAACTGAAGCAAGAAATAGGGTTGAACTATTTCGCCATTTGCCACAATATGAACAGGGGACTCAGCTTCCTGATCTTGTGTCAAAGTTTTTTCAACTTGATACCATTCATCCTGCCATTTACAAGGTGCCTTTTCTTGAAATCAACTAATATAGATTTTGATGTCTTATGGACTAGAAATTATGGTAAGCATGGACCTTCTAGTTTGAAACTGAGCATACAGTGTTGGCTAAATTTCTTTTTTCTCATGATATGCATGAGTATCACATGATATGAACTGTAAGGTCATAATGGTCATAAGCGCTATAAATTATTGGGCTAATAGAGGAGATTGCGAGCAGCATATTTATTTTTTATTTTTTATTTTTTTGAAATCAGGAAGAGATGGAACTTTCACTAGATATGAAGCCCACAGAGGAGTTTTTGAAGAATAATAAAATGTCTATTTAAAATTCCAAATATCAAAACAAGTATTCTTAACATTTATACTTTTCTCAACCCAAATATTAACTGATAGATTTACCCGCTGGGCAATTGGCCATTTGCTCTCCAATCTGATCATGAAGTTGATGTATGACTGTAGTTTGTTTAATGCACGCAGTCACATGTTGATGCAAAGTTTTGCGTGTCTGACTACTGTGTAGAACTAAAGATATTGTTTTGAATTATGCATTAAATGTGTTAGAAGGTAATTTGATGAATTGTATATTAACTGTCCGAACTACTTATTGCCTCAAGAATTTATAATATATTAACTGTGCGAACTACTTTGCTCTCACTAGTAATTATCTGATATAGTCACATGTCTATATTCTATTAGGTTGGTTTACAATATATGGCTGGAGATATATCTGGCGGTAATGCTCGTTGTATTGCAATGCTCCATGCATTTCAGCAAGCCATTAAAGACTACTCAACCCCACCACAGAAATCTCTTGTGAGAGATTTAACTGCAAAAATTGGCGTCTATGTGTCATTCTTTAATGAATGCAGGCCACTTTCCGTTAGTATGGGAAATGCAATCAGATTTTTGAAAAATCGCATTGCCAAATTACCACCAAATCTTCTAGAATCTGAGGCAAAAGCTGCACTTTGCTTAGATATCAGTCGTTTTATCAATGAGAAGATAATGCTAGCTGACGAGGTCATAGTGAGGCATGCTGCTACCAAGATCAGAGATGGAGACGTTCTTCTCACATATGGGTCATCGTGTGCTGTAGAGATGCTTCTATCATATGCCCATGAGCTTGGAAAACAATTTCGCGTCGTTGTGGTAGATTCTCGACCAAAACTTGAGGGCCAAGCATTGCTTCGTAGGCTGATAGCAAAGGGCCTAAGTTGTACTTACACTCATATAAATGCTATTTCCTATGTGATGCGTGAAGTAACCCGAGTTTTTTTGGGAGCTGCGGCAGTGTTAGCTAATGGAACTGTATATTCTAGAGTGGGGACTGCAGGTATTGCCATGGTTGCACATGCATTCCATGTTCCAGTATTATTCTGCTGTGAAGCATATAAATTTCATGAAAGGGTACAACTTGATTCGATATGCTTTAATGAATTAGGTAAATATTCTTGTGCACATTCTTCTTTCTTTTTCCTTCCCAAAAGGGGGAAGTGACAATATATGAGAATTTTTCAAATTGCTTGCAGGTGACCCAGATGCTATCTCAAAGGTTTCGGGAAGGACAGACGTTAATTATCTAGATGGTTTGACTGCTAAAGAACATCTGCAACTTCTAAACTTAATGTATATCAGCAACTAATTCATGATATATTACTTGTCATTATTATTTTTTGGCCTCAAAACGATGTGTACTGACTTGGTATTTGCACTGTCTCAGGTATGATGCTACACCTTCAGATTACATCTCAATGATTGTGACAGATTATGGCATGGTAAGTTCTGCGTGTGTGCATGTATCAGCTTTGGGTTATTTGTTTGATAGCAAGTCGAATAATGTCTGCAGAAGATAGGGAATATGGGCCTCTTGGGAAGATACGAGTATTAAATTGACGTAGGGACGATATCATAAATTAAGAGTAAAATCACATGAGAGAAAAGGACGACTGACCAATTTGTGGGCCTTGCAAAAAAGATAACACATACATGGTGAGAGGAGATAAGAAGACTTTTCTTTTACAGTAAATCTCATGTAACTAAGTTTCCTGAGACTAGAGTCCGAAGAAGAGTATAATACATTTGAAGGCAAGTTAGGTAGATTAGAAAGAATCGAAGAAAGTAAAAGAGAGCACTTGTAATACAAAAGCTAAGCTTTACAAGGAAAAGAGCCACTAGGATTACTCCGCATTAGAATTAAGGAAATATGAGTAGCATTAGTGCAATGGTTTATTACGCCTTTAAAGTTCATCAAAACTTTCCATCACTCCATATTTAACAATATACATATTGAAAGAAGGGCATAGGAAAAAAAAAGGTAGCTCGACCTTGAGATTTATTTTTGGTTGTTCTCTGTTATAACTCTGTTCCCATCTTTCTCTCTCTCTTTCATGAACTTCTTATGGAGAAATATTATTTGATGCTATTTGCATCTTCAAACACCATTGTTTTACTTCAGTTATGTAATGCGGAGATAATTCTTTTCCTCACCATTTTACTCTTGGACCAGACAAAATGTCGGAGGTAAAATCAAGCGCCCTTGTTTCTTTAGGTTAACTTCACATGAAATATCTTTTGGATATTGTCTATAGTCGTCCCCTTCCTTAGCGCCAAAGTCCAAAGGAAAAACTTGTATCCATATACCACAACTTCTTGTCTGCACAAGCCTCTGTTACTCTTCACTTTCCTGACTGGCTGAAATAATATGCAGAGTTGTTACTTAACATACTTCATACTTGATTGCAGATACCACCTACAAGCGTGCCCGTAATTGTACGCGAGTATAGAAGAGAGCACCTATGGGTTTAGCTTATAGGATAGTTCAAGCCTCAAGGAAGTTCATTTTTGCCGAGGAGAAACTAACTAGTAGGAGTTCTTTTGATCCATGGTTAGATCATGGTGCCTGCTGGTTTAAAATTTTGATTTTGGTGAAATAATGGTGAAGAGTGCAATTGTGGCCTCTCCTTAACTCATTTTTCCCAGTCTTTTGTTCTCGAAATGTATAATACTCTTTTATATGTTTGCTTTCGAGGATACAAATCGTTTTTTTTTTTTTTTTTTGCTTAATGAACCCCATTTATTGAGAAATTTAAGCCTAGAGAAGCCCTTTTGTTAAATTTTACTTTCCTTTTTGGGTAGGGAGGTTTCCTCTGAAACATTGATATATCTGAATTCTGACGTGATCGAAAATTACAGGTTACTGTTTTGTTTCTGTACTGTCATTTTAGTATTTTTAAAACATACCTTTGAAAATACAAAACGGTTATTGTATTTCATAACACTTACTTTTGTTCGTTCATTTGAGTACTGCTATTTTTAAAATTTTAATTTCAGTAATACTTTTAAACAGGACTACTTTCATTTTTTATTCATAAATTTGTATTAAAATTTTGTTCATTTTCAACGTGGTATTGAAAGTATAGGAACTCATAGATATTAACACATTTTGAAAATACATGATTAGGCCAAAATAATATTTAAACCAATAAACCAATAATTTTTTGACGCAATTCATTTATTTTGAAGTATAATCGAAAGGAGTATTGTTGAAACCAAGAACTTCCAAAAAAAAAAAAATTAGTCTGATGCCCCTTCCGCCCTCTTAAAACTTTAAAGTATTTTTTTTAATCTATTTAAGATCACTGAAAATAGAAAACACTCTCGAGGGATCAAAAGCATTTTTTAATCACGAGGCAATGCCAAACAGTACATCTCCTCAAAGAACTAATAAATCATTCAAAATTCACCCACCAAAATATATAACCAAAATCATGCTAAAAAGGGAGAATATAATATTCGAACATCACCACAAAATCAAACAATCAAAACCAGATGAAAAAGAGAATTTCTCAAACTTGGCTAACAAAATGTTAGAATCATGCTAACTTATTAAGAGCTTCCAACACAAAAACAATCTCTTTCTTAGACATAAATCATTGAAAAATAAGCCAAAAACTTGAGAGTATCAAAATTGCATGTGTGAGGCTGAAATTGAAAGAAATTAAAAGCGACCCACATAAAAATGAAAGTAAAAGCTTCATTCTGTGTCCTCAAAAACCTATCTTTATTACAATACGATGCAGTTGTTCAAGTTTTTTACATATAAAATCATATCAACCGATCGATCGATCGACTCAGCCATAATATAAATCATGATATCATGTTTTTGTTCCAATTAAGGCTAATTAATTAAGCTCCAGGAGCTGCATCTTTCACCTTACTCTGCCCAAAATACCCTCCATACTCTCTGGCGGTGTCGTAAATCCTGCTCCTCGCGTACTCGAGCCGCTCCGATCCCGGCGGCTGCATCCCTTTGAAGTACCTAAACCCCCACGACAGCCCCGCCGCGGCCGCCAACGCGAGCCCGCCGAGCGACAAAACCACGGCGGTGGCGACAAAGAGGAGGAAGCCGACCGGGACCCAGATGGGGCTGGTCAGGAGGATGAAGGGGGTGATGAGGATGAGGGCCACCGCGGCGGCGGTGATGGTCAGCCCGGTCAGGAACACCAGCACGGCGGCGGAGATGAACAGGGTCAGGAACCCCAGCAGCTGCGGGGAGTGCGGGGCATGCTCTTGGATCCTCCGGAGGACGGCGGCGGCGGCGGAGAGGGGGCGGCGGTCGGCCATGGCTGGGGAATTCTGATTATTTAGGGGACACTTAAAAGAATAATGGGGATGTGGCTGGCCGGGTGGCGAGGGAATTTGAGGGAGGGTGACACGTGGCGTGTGGAGAACACATGCATGGAGTACACGTGGCGGGAGTGGAGCTTTGGATGCCCTACATATGGGTGCCCATTGCTGACTCTTTCTTACATCTTGTTCTTGTATCCATGCATGAGTTAGTTTTTGTTTTGTAACAGATTTTGTGTCTAATAAATATTCGTGATTCTCAACGATTTTAGTCTCGACGTCTATATGTTGGTTATTGTAATCTTAAAAACAGATAATTTTGATAAATTTTATAAACGGAATACTATTTAATATAAATTGATGACTGTATGTCACAAATTTTGAAATTTAAGGTAAAATTATGAGGAAAGAAATGAAATAAAAATAAGAGTCAAAAGACTAATTAAAAGAATCACATTTTAAAATTACCGTGACCAAAATAAGTGCTTCGAAAGTACAAGGACTAAGGATTAAAAATAATATTTAAGCTTACAAATTTAAAAATTTTATGGTGTAAGTCTTAGAGTGAAGCACAAAATTATTTATTAGAAACACCGCATTTAGAGGTGGTGGCGTAGTGAGCTTGTAGTCGAACGACATTATTCCCTCCCTAGTTTGTATCTCATGGGGCAAGTAGCAGTGGTTTCTTTCTCACCCCTCTCCTCTCCAACTTCGAGACGAATTTTGCAACGTCAGTTATAATAATGAACGATGGTTGCACTAAAACCTAATATATATATATATATATATGATTTTTATATGATTCGAAACAAAATTATAAACTTGTTCGAGTACATAATTTAAATAAACATCACTTTAAAAGTTCAAAACAAATTTTTTTTTTTTTACCAATTGTGTAGTTTATTCTACAACAAAAATATGAGGAAAAATGTTTTGTATTTGAAATTTTTCATAATGAAGATAAATTACTAATTTTTCTTGTTACTTCCTCAATTTAATCGGTATAATTTTAAAATTTTTAATTTTGTCGCGTGGTTTTGTTAAAAGTTGTCAAACATACTTTCTTGAAATATGGTAAATATAGCACAATGATGTCGACATTTAGAAATGAGAAAACTATATATATATATAATTAGTCAATTAAAAGATATTTTTGAGAAATTTAACTCAGTCGCATATCAAATTAAAATTTTAAAAAATTATAAAATTAAATTGAAACTAACCCAATTGTAATATTAAAATAGTGGTCAGATAATATTGTATATACCTCTTTCTCATCATGAGAATGTTCCAATCCAACATTCGAAATGGATATAAAAGTAATTCAGATTCCCAAAGATATCACATTCATAATCCCAACAAAATATGAAAATCATATAAATTTCTAATTTGGCAATTGCCATTAGGCACCTTATCCCATCTTTTTTTTTTATCGTTGTTTTTAGAATTTTTGTCGTTGTAGACAAGAGGATGCCCTCATTTGAGAATATCATAACTCCACAGATCCAGCCAAGAAAAGAAGACACCATATTGGGTTGAGATTCGGTTGGCCGTAGATATCTTGGTACGAGATACGAACCTCTAACTTCTGATCGAAGATATTATTTTAACCGGTCAAAATATATTGATGTTGTTGAAAATTTTAAATGTTTATTTCTTTATGTCTCTTGGTCTAAAATTTGACGAAACTCCATTTATAAATTTAGAGGCAATTTAGAACCCATTTCATAATATTTTTTTATGTCTTTTGGTCGCAATTCAAGTTGCATATCAAACATATCCATAGATATTTTTTTATTTTAAAAATTTTTCACGTGATTTTGAAAATGTTTCTTAAAAATAAGAAACCAGAAATACAAATGAAGTTACCTCATATAAGTGAATTACTAATTACGTTCCAAACATCCTTGTCGAACCATTTTTCAAATTATCTCTCTTATATATACATATTTTATTAACATTTTTCAACAGATTATGTATTAAGCTATTTAAACGACAATCTGATTCTGAGCATAGCAAAAAACATTCTATTTAAATACTTAATTTAACTCTTTTTTCTAATTTGAACGCCCTTTCAAATCCAGATTGTGAAAAATATCGGGCCCATATTTCGGCCCAAAGCGGTTAACTGGACTTTTTATCCATTAATTCAGTAGACCGACCCGGGCGGAACAGCCCAAAATTGCCGCCTATCCTATCCTCCAATCAAATTTTGTCTTCAGAAATTGCACTCCCCTTTTTATAAGAATCTAATTCCCCGTGCCTCAAAATAAATAAATAGATGAATGAAAACAATAAATGAAAGAATCTAATTCCTCTCGAAAAAAATAGCACGAACAAACACAAAGTTTATTATAAACATATGCAACTAATAATTAGATTTTTTAATTTAAATATTATTTTCATCCTTCTATCTTTTATTTTTATCATCTATTTAATTCTTTATACTTTATACTTTTATTCATTATACTTCAAAAACATCTATTTTTGTTCCTGCATGCTTAATAATAATTTAGTTTTTAATTACAATTTTAACACAAATTTTATACACTAAAACTTTTTAATATAAATTTATGATTACATTTAAGAAATTTTGTGAATGAAATGCCGTGCTAAATTTATGATAAAAATAAAAATAAAAAATGATGTGAACTAAAATTAACCCCAGTTGAAAGTAGATAGACTAAAATAGTATTTAATAAATGTTCCAAAACCCATTTTTAATAAACTTTAAATTTTCAAAAATATGTAATGTATCTTTAAAATTGAGCTACGATGGGTTAAGAACTTTAAAAAATGTCTAATATAGCTCTGGTATTAATTTGAAAAATGCTAACAAATGTCTTTATTGATTGAGTTATTTTAAAATTGGTCAACTTTTTTAGTCAAAATGATGTTTTTTTTCTAGTACCAAAATGAATTGATAGATGACTTAAGATTATTTATCATATTTGAAGGATAAAAAATGTACATTTTAAAACTTGAAAGATGGACAAAAGTTATTTTCTTGTATACTTTAACGTGAATTTGATTATTGGTGCGTAAAGAAAAAAAACCAGAGGGGCCAGCAGGAGGGGCCAGGGGATTGTTCTGCAAACATTGTCTGATTTACAAAGTTGGTGTTGTTCGGTTCTTCTGATTAAGCTCTGGCTATGGCGGAGGCGAACGCTACTGAACCAACCAATTACGTTTCCGCTTAAAGCTTCTCTGCAGTGCAGTGCTTCTCTCTCCTTCTCTGGGTGTGGATTCCGGTGCTTCCCATGCCAAAATACTCGCGGATCCATCGCTAAGTCTTCATTTCATGGATGCTCGCCGCGGCTCCCGCATCGTAAACCCCAAAGTTCGACAGGTAGGATTCTTCACCATCGACGCTCCAAATCCCCCCAGCCGGAGCCTCTCCGTCCCGGCTGACTGCACCACTTCCCCCCAATCCCACTCTCCCCTCACCAATTCCTTATCTCCGGTCATGATTCCCCCTCCCCGTCATCTTTCCGATAACCTTGCCTCTCGCTCCACTGTTCTCCCCGTTCCGGCTCCCGCCAATTGGAGAAATTCGGCCGACCAGATCCCTGTTGGGAGCTACAATCCTTCCGAGACGCTGCTTGGCACCTCTCCCGTGGCCTCGCCTTCGAGTAGAATTGAGGACGAAGAGTTGGACTTATCGGAGGATTCCGCCACATCCGTTTGGTATCGCCGGAGCGGTTCGGGGAAGATTGCGTCGAGCTTTCCGGGCGTTGGAATCCACGTGGCGGCTAAGTCGTCGGAGAATTCTCAGGCGGTGCCTCTCGCTAATGCTAGGACTTCGGAACCTGACAAGCCTACTGGTGTCGCAGGTGATGATGAGCACCGGTTGTTAGAATTCATTTGCTATTCTCCTTTTTGTTAATGTCTCTGCTAACTTTGGCTTTATACTTTGTTGAACGCATACCTTTTTCTCTAGGTACAACATTTTAATGCAGTACTGCCTTCTTTATGCATCTTATTATTACACTTTCTGCTGTGCATTTCTTTTTCATATCAATTGGATTAATTACATTTGGAAGATGGTGCTTGTTGTTGTGGGGTTTAATACGAACGACAGAATTCAGAAGAGAAACATTACTATTTCTCCCTCTTCTAGTTGGTGCTCTCTGTGTAAAAGGAATCGGGAAAATATTGGCCGTGTTTTTCATGTCTTGCACTTTACTGAATCCATTCGGTGCTGCTTTTTTGTTTGTTCGGATACATCCAGCCTTTATTAGAGTCTTGTAGAAGCTCTCCTAACATCATTAAACAATTTTTAGGCTAGAGTTTCTCGTTGAACGATGCTAGAGCTATATTTTGGGGTACACAGATTGAAAAAAACTAGGAGATTATGATGTGACGTGTAGGGATTTCAGTAGTTGTGGGATTGGGTATGGTTTTTAGTCGCCAGTTAGTTTCCTTTCTAAACACTTCTGTAGTTATTACCTGGCTGCTATCCTTGCCGACTGGAGTGTGTTTTTGAACTTCTGTAGTGCTTTTTGGGAGAATTTCTTGTCCTCTCCTCTGTATAATGTATATTCTCTTTATGTAATGAAAATGAAATTTGTTTCTTATCATAACAGAAAAGAAAGAAGAAAATGAAATTCTGTTAATTGATTGAACCTCAAACTAATCCCAGATGACTTCCTACCGCTCTATGCCGAAATCCCATACTAAATAAATTTCAGTTATATGGTTGATTGATATGATATCATATAAGATGGTACTCAATACTTGCAACAGATATGCTACTTCAGTGGGTTTTCTTATTTTGCTACGCTAAGTAATCGTTTTCATAAGAGTGGTAATGGATCATGAATGTGAGTTAGTGGTTATAACTAGAAGTAGGGTCTTGTTTTGATTTGAGAAATTTTCTCTTTAATTAAATGTTTTGTCTGAGCCACTGGTTCACGTTTAAAGGAAAAGATAAGAACCAGTTGCCCTGTGTAATATTAAACTTCGTTCAGTTTTATTGTTTGAGAGAGTAAGAAAATAGAACGGATTATGAAGAAAAGAAGGGAAAGGGAAAATAGATGAGAGAGGGAAAGTGTGAGCCTTCAAGAAAGAGGATATGAAATTGGAAAGAGAGAAGAAATGAGAATCACCATGAGTTGGTCTAGTGGCCAAAGTTAAGAATAAAGGGCTTTGTAAGAGCCAACGGAAGAGAAGGGCAATAGAATCAGAAAGGGAGGGAGGGGTAGATCTTTCTAAGGGCAAGGAGAATATAGGCATAGACACACTCGCACATCGACCTATTTGGGTTGATCAATTTTCTTACTTTTGCTTCAAATACGTGTCATAGTTAAACCCTCTAACTGCAGCTCAATCTGCTGATGTTCCACATGAAATTGTCGTGAATGGTGGACCTTGTATAATGGTCGAGAAAGTTTGATTTCCAATTATTCATATTCTTCTATTGTTTATGACATAAACTAGTAATTGTGGCAGCATCACTATCTATTCCACTTCTATGTGTTGGACTTTTTCAAGTCATTCTTCTCTGATTCTGACATGCTTGCATGGTCTGGCTGAAGTGCCCAATTTTGGACCAAAAGATTTCTTGGTATCAAGGATATTAAGGGGAAACGAATGAAATTTCATGGATCTTGCATTGGGATTATTGATTCCTTACTTCTACTTCTTTGCTCTTGCAGAAAAGAATGGAGGGGCATCCACAGAGGTCCCGAATCAACAATTACCACCAAGTTCAAAACCCCTGAAGGCGAAAACAACAAAGGCTGAAAGACGGGCTCTGCAGGAGGCACAACGAGCTGCAAAAGTTTCTGCTAAAGGTTCAATTTCCATTTCAATCATTTTAAATGTACCGGGAGATATATTGTAGAGCTAATTATTCAGAAATGCAAGTCTGGCTGGAAAGGAAACATTATTTTTCAAATTTAGGAATGTAGAGGATTTAGTGGAGTCAATTTTATGCATTGTAATGTATATTATATTTTTCTTCTTAATAAATTGGACTGTTTATAGATATTGGTCACTTCTTGCCTTGTGTGCTTAAAAATTTCTAACTCCTGGATTTGCTAATTCCATGAGTAATCTTTGAACTGGTTCCTCTATTTGATTATAAATGCCAATAGTTATCCTTTTTTCCTTTTCTTGGGTTATTAATGTAATAGAAAATTTTCAAGAGCTCATATAACTAGTTCATGTTTATTGGTTTTTTAAAAGGTGAGGCGAACAAGTCAAGTACTGCTCCCGGTAAAGCTGTGAAGCAGCCTTCGGCTATAAAAGATAGCCCTGCCGCACCTTCGGTTGCATCAACTGACAAAAGAGGAGGTGATCGCACACTTGATAAAGAAAGGAAGAAAGATGCTCCCCATCCACGAATGCAGTTTGATGATAAAAATAGGGTAGAAAAGGCTAAAAAGCGAGCAGTTTTCAACCAAACTGAAGCTAGGAATAGGGTTGAATTATTTCGCCATTTGCCACAATACGAGCAGGGAACTCAGCTTCCTGATCTTGTGTCGAAGTTTTTCCAACTTGACACCATTCATCCTGCCATTTACAAGGTGATTTTTTTATCTTTCTGAAATCAGCTAATATAGTTTGTAATTTACTCTGACTTGAAATTATGACAAACATAGAATTTGTTAAGTACAGAGAACTTGGATTAAGAGGATAAGTTGTCCACTATTTGAAGAAGAACACAAATCGGAAGTCCGCCCAGAATACAAAAATCTTCAAGATTTATATCAAGATTCTTACTCTTCCCAATCCAAACGGGGAACTGGAACTCATAGCTTCACCCTGTTTGACTAGGACCGTTCTATTTTCTGATCTCATAATGTTGATCTATCAATAATTTTATTTTTATGCGCTTCTATGCACTCACAACACATGTATGGCTACTCTATAAGCGAAAAAAAAAATGGTGAATAATGAATCAATTCTCTTAAATACTTGTGGTGAATTTATAATAACTATAAAGGTTGCCAACTAGTCTGTCTAATTTAGTCACGTACCTATACTTTTTACCAGGTTGGCTTACAATATATGGCTGGAGATATATGTGGAGGCAATGCTCGTTGTATTGCAATGCTTCATGCGTTTCAACAGGCAATTAAAGACTACTCAACTCCGCCACAGAAGTCTCTGGGTAGAGATTTAACTGCAAAAATTGGTAGCTATGTGTCATTCTTCAACGAATGCAGGCCACTGTCTGTTAGCATGGGAAATGCAATTAGGTTTTTGAAAAACCGCATTGCCAAGTTACCATTGAATCTTCCGGAATCCGAAGTAAAAGCTACGCTTTGCTCAGATATCAATCGCTTTATCAATGAGAAGATAATACTTGCAGATGAGGTCATAGTTAGACATGCTGCTACCAAGATCAGAGATGGAGATGTTCTTCTCACATATGGATCATCATCTGCTGTAGAGATGCTTCTATTATACGCTCATGAGCTCGGAAAACAATTCCGTGTTGTGGTGGTGGATTCCCGACCAAAAATGGAAGGGCAAGCACTTCTTCGTAGGCTAATAACAAGGGGCCTAAGTTGTACCTACACTCATATAAATGCTATTTCTTATGTGATGCATGAAGTAACACGAGTTTTTCTGGGGGCTGCCGCAGTATTATCTAATGGAACTGTATATTCAAGAGTGGGAACTGCAGGTGTTGCCATGGTTGCTAATGCATTCCATGTTCCGGTCTTAATTTGCTGCGAAGCCTATAAATTTCATGAAAGGGTACAGCTTGACTCGATATGTTTTAACGAATTAGGTATACATTACTATGTTATCTTCTCTCTCGTTTCCTTCCAGAAGAGAGAAAAGGGCAATGTCTGAGCATTTTCAAATTTCCTGCAGGTGACCCAGATGCTATCTCCAAGGTTCCAGGAAGGGAGGAAATTAATTACCTAGATAATTTGACTGCTAAAGAACAATTGCAACTTCTAAATTTAATGTAAATCAGCAAGTAGACCATGATACATCTTTAAAGAGTTATTGTACCTCGACAGACTGAATTCTAACTTGGTGTGGTACCGTTTCAGGTATGACGCTACACCTTCAGATTACATCTCAATGATTGTCACAGATTATGGCATGGTAAGTTTAGTTCGACCAATGTTACTCTCTTTCTCTATGTCAAGGACTTGTTCAGATGCATACTTTAATTCCTGCTTGTCGTACTTGGATGGCCGTTTTGTAATCTTTCCTTCCCTTTCTCGTTGGGTTAACCTTTTAGTGCATATCATTTGTATATTTTTCTCCATTTCGTTGATAACAATTTCCATTTTCCCTTTTTTTTTAACATGTTTCAAATTTTCATCAAAATTTGTAAAACCAAAAGTACTGTTTTTCAAAATCATAAATCTGTGGGATAAGAATGTTGCACATTTTATTTTTTTTACCATCCGTAGGTGCTTTTTCATTAAATTTTCCCTACATATATAGCCCATCTCTTTTTACTCCAGTTTCCTTCGTTAATTTCTATGTGTATACACTCTTCCTCTTATCTATCTCTACACTATTTTCACCTTCATTCTCTCGTGCATTGACCTTTCTCAAGTAAACTCTTATAGATTCTTGTTGACTTTTGGATCAAAGCTAGTTGGGCTATTTTCGGGAATTAAAATGGAGAATAGAAAGAATATTTACGATCAGTATTTGGATTAAGATCTTTGTTTAGTGGCTTCACTTTTGGGTTTGGGAGCTTCTTTGTCCAAGCATTATAGTGATTGTGCGGTTGCAGAAAAATACTTTGCAAATAGTATCTAAAATAGCATCTAGCTAGATTATTCAAAAGATTTAACACGTGGAGGTAGGGATTTGAACCTCCGACCTTTTGGTTGAAGATATATGCTTTAACCAGTTGAGTTGTGTTCTAGTTCCTAGATTCTATGAAAAGTCGATGCATCAGGTCATATTTCCATTCTGGTAAAAGTCCAAATTGAGATAATTTGTGGTCATTTCCCTAGTATGTGCTGAGGGATTCAAACTCAAGCATCTAGCTTCTTCATTGTTGGACTTCTTCTCTTCATGTCAGAAAGCAAATTTACTTTTGGGATAAGTTCTGTTAGGTAAAACAAACTAAGCTCTAGTCCTGTACTGTCTTAAGATCAATCATGTGTCCGTTATGAATGCCACTTTGCTCTGTCATCTGTAATCTTATTTGGATTCTGGGTGCTAACTCCTGAGATTTCAGTTGTCAGAATTAAGAAGGTGAGACTTTTGGGGTTTTTCAGTCTTGGAGTAAAAATTGTTTCTTATTGTACTGAACTGTAGATCCCACCAACAAGCGTACCGGTGATCGTACGCGAGTATCGGAGAGAGCACGTGTGGATATAAGGTGGAAGGAAGCTTATTTCTCCAAGGATAAATCGTAGATACTGGTAAGCTTATGATCATGCGAGAAATAGCCAATGCATGGTGGGAGGATTTTTTCGAGTCAAATCTGCATCGATAAACGACCTTCTATCGTGCCATACTGGTTTCAAATTTTGATTTTGGTAAAATAACAGTTAGTTAAGAGTTTGATTGTTGCCACTCCTTACAGCTTTTTGAAGTGTGTTTTTTAGGAGAATGTATAATGAATAAAGTTTGAATGTTGATGTCAATGAAAATGTCAATAGGAACATAAACAACGAACAAAATTTGTAGAATTTATTTGAATTAATAATTGAGACTTCAATTACTGCTTTTTTTTTTTGTTTTTTTATTTGAGTTCAATTATTGCTTAGTGTAATACGACATCTTGGGGAAAAGAAACTCTCACTTACAAGTTTAGTTTAGTATTCTTTTTAATGGGTTAGACTATTTTTTTTTCAGTACAACAAGTGAACGAAAAATTTGAACTCACAATTTTTAGCAGGGGATATGTATCAATTACTATTTAGCTAAATTCATTTTGACAGTGGTATTACACCTTCAATACTTATATTTGATGGTATTTTAATAAATGACTAAATGAGAGTTAAAATTTATTCTTTTGATGGGAGTAATTAATTAATCAAAGTTTAATCAAAGTTTTTTTTTTCAATTCAATACAACTAGAAGTACAACCTTTGCTCAGGTTAGCTAAAATTGGATGCTAAATATTACCAATAATGTTGTTCAAATAATAAATACTATAAATATAGTAGTTTTTAAAGTAAATTAAAAAAATAATGTTGTTTAAATATTACAAATTTTTGAAAATAAGACACTTTCTCAAGATATTGATAAACATAGGGTTGCTTTTGCAACGTAAAAAAGCATGTGGATTAAATTGCAAGTTAAATGCTTATATGGTATGTTCGAGTTAAATGCTTATATGGCAGTCATAACATACTCAAATCGTACCCGTGATTTCTGAAATTTTGAAAGGTTAGTTTAGGATTCGTATCCCCACTTCACATGTTGTACTAAAGTGTTTTTCTTTTTTTTTACTGTTTTCAGAAAAAAGGAAAGTAACAAACGACCTGATATTGCTTTCTTTTTTTGCCCGAATCTTTCTTTTTATTTTATACTTCTCTCTACCATTTAATTTCTTTTTCTTTTTTTCTTTCTTTACCCTTGATATTTCAATTTCTTTCTAATTAACAAAAAGAAATTATTTAAAAAAAAACACATTATCATTTTTCTTTAACTGATTTATGTTTTTTTAGTACAACATGTTAGGGAGGGATTCAAACTCACAACCTCTTAGTTTGAAGTATATGTCAATTATCGCTGAGTTATATTCACTTTAGCTGATTTATGCATTAATTATTAGTAATAGAGTTAGATTCGTTGATTTATAAATGCAAAACCCATATTCGTGACTAATTATTTATGACAAGATCATCAAGGAATCCGATGGTATTCTTTAAAAGGTTAAGGCAATTAATATAAATTATACCACAATATATCATTTATGTATCATCAATAAAATTTATCATTGATATACCAACCATTTTGTATCATTGATAAAGTATCATATAAATGGTATAGAATTATTACATTTGTGCAATTTTTGCAAAATATTTAGTAGGTGTATTTAGGTCAGATTTGCTGCAAAAAAATCCCTAATTTTTTTTAAATGATATAACATAACTTATATTTTTATTTTTATTTAATCCCTACTATTGGTGCCAATGACATGGTATGTCTATTACGTGTTGATCGAGTTATCTTCTCATTTCACAAAATATCATCACGTTTGAAATTGAAAATTAAAGACAATTATAATATTCATTTGATAACTATTATGTTATTTAATTAACCAAGTTCATCAATGGTTGAATCCTCATAATTTAATTTGGTTAATTGGTCTTTGCTTTGAAGCCATGAGCTAAAAAAAGACAAAGCATAAACACCTTCATCATAACAAGTTTGGGTAATCATTTAACTCTCAATCCCAACAAATGTAATTTAATTAAACCATATTTCATTTAGAAGCCCACACATCATGAAGTTTTGCTTCTCATTAAATAAAAATAACAACCTTTGCCACCCCACTTTAGGCGGTTTCCATTATAACAATTTATATTACTTAAAATAATTTTTATTAAAAGTTAATCGAGAAACAACTTAAACCTAAAATACGAGTAAATGAATGAAGTCAAAAAAATGAGTAAATGAATCAAGCGAAAATACTGTGATCTAAATTATAAGGTGTTGAATTATGTGTTTATTAATATTATTCAATTACTACACGATGGAAACATCATAACCTTAATTCTCACGTTTTTTCAATAAAGATTAAATCATTACAAAAAGAATATTATGACAAAAAATTTATAAGAGGTCGAGGTATATGGATAAAATCATATTTTAATCTATAAATAATTTGTCTTTTTTATTTTCTTTTTTTTTATAGTACACGAAAGGTAGTTGGTGTGGATTTGAATTTCAATTTAAAAAATGAATTATATGCTTTTATGTTTTTTTTCTTTTATTTCCATGAATTTCTTTTTCCTTTTTTACGTTCGGACACAGGAGAGCTCGTACCTGAATCTTGGATGTCAACATTCAAACTTCTTGCCACTGTACTAACACCCCAGAAAAAGGTGCTCCATGAATTGCTTTTACTTTTGGGAGAAAACCTCAAAGAAAAGGCAAGTTTGTCATCATCATTTATCCACTCATCACTAAAGAACTCAACTCTTATAATATATGATCCAAATAGCTCTTATCACCACCGTTCATTTACCACTTTGAGATATCAACGGTAGGCAAGAGTGAGGTGCATGGAAATTAATGTACCTCAGCTTCACCATAGAACTCCACTCTTCTTTTGAAAAAGATTTTGTCTTTAATTATTTCGAATTTCATATAATTAAAGTGCGGAGGAGGAATCCAGTGCGGTCAGAATCATCTCGAGGCGACCCCACACATTTCCAAAGGGTTTACCGTTTGGATCTGAAGTCAATTTTTCGACCGTTACGAGCAATGATAAATTCAAAATTTTCAAAAGACCAAAATCTCTACCGCCACTCCATTTTTTACTCCATCCACTCCATTCTGCCATGGTAATTTCAAAACTCTAGACTGGAAGAAGCAAAAACTGGAGTGCTCGGTTTACCTAACTTCAAAAACTGATTTTCCCCGCTTCACTACCAACCGTCCAACCCCATCAGATTGACGGCTCAGATTTCTCCACAATTAACATCAATCACAAAACTTGATCTTCCCTCTCCTTCCATAGTTCAACTTGAGCTCTGCACTGGTGGCTACCGATTTTCCCGCAGGATTTTTCAACTTTCCGGGAAAATGCTTGAAATCCCTTTTGAATTATAGCAATTTTTCTAACTGGGTCAGCGAGATTTCCAGGGTATGCTTTGGCGGTGAGAAAAACAAAGGAAAAAAAAAACAAATGCCTGTGTCTACTCGGTCTCAGATCATGAATGAGGAGCAAAATGATGCAATTCCAGGTCAAGAAGAGAAGCAACAACTGAATCTTCCTCCGAGAAATCTCCACCATGGATTGAAGGAGAAGATGAAGGCATTAACCCTTTTATACGAGCAGCAGAAGCAAGCTTCTGCAGCTCTTAAGAAGTCGTCCCCCAAAATGGAGGATCCACGATTCACGACTCATCCAAGCGTGGAGCTTCTGGGTTCTTGTAAGAAAGAAGAGCGAGAGCCGAAACTGGAGAATGTAATGAGAGAGAACACAATGCCCAATTCCTCTGTTACGAGAACTTATGTTCTGCCCCAACCGCCCACGGCTGATGCAAAGGAGAATGTGGTGGTCGGGGCCGATCGGATTGTTGGGTTTTCATGCTCGAGAAAGGCGAGTGTCTCGTCGAATGTGGCTCGGAAACTGTCATTGGGGAACTCGGTGCCTCCGGCGGAGCCGAAGGAGAATGTGGGGTGTAAGAAATTGCACGAAATGGAGGAATTGGGGAGCTTTTCGGAGAAGGAAAGTTTGGGGGAAAGTCGGATTATGGTATTTGTGAGGCTGAGGCCGATGGCCAAGAAGGAAAAGGAAGCGGGGGGGAGGTGCTGTGTTAAAATTGTGAACAGAAGAGATCTTTATTTGACAGAGTTTGCTAATGAAAACGATTATCTGAGACTGAAGAGGCTTCGTGGACGCCATTTTACCTTTGATGCTTCATTTCCTGATACCACTAATCAGCAGGAAGTCTATTCCACCACGTAAGTTCAAACAGAAAAGAATTGGGTTTTGCTTTGGAATTGGATGTGATTTTGCTTCTTCTACCTTCAATATTAAGATGAATTTTGCTTTCAAGTTCCCCATTATCGATTCAGATCTTGTTCTTGTTCTTTTCTTGTTCTTCAGAAATCATGCAAATCATTGTTTGTAGTCTCCTTTGGGAAGAAATGAAGGAGACGTTTTTTTTTTTTTTAAATACAACAACATAACATGTGGGGTGGAGATTCAAACTCAATTAACCAGTTGAGTTAAGTTGAAGTCGGCAAAGAGGGAGATAATTAGTTCGTCCTAAATTAAGAAACAATATAAAAAATTTGAGAGTTTAAAGTTATCTCTAAATCTGCCTACAAAAGGTTAGAATGTAACATTTTGCTGTTATCATGTTCCCCTCAGTTTTGGAACCATTTCTTTCATGATTAACCGAAAATTTTGAGCATGACAGAAAAGAAAAAAAAAAGCTCAAGAGAACTCTGAGACTTCTCATCAGTTCTTTCACAGCTCCATTAAACTCTACCAATTTGAATGTGCAGGACAGCAGAGCTTGTAGAAGCAGTTCTACAAGGAAGGAATGGCTCTGTCTTCTGCTATGGTGCCACTGGGGCTGGAAAGACCTACACAATGCTGGGTACAGTTGAGAATCCAGGAGTCATGGTTTTGGCCATTAAAGACCTCTTCACTAAGATAAGGCAGAGAAGTTGTGATGGGAACCACGCAGTCCATCTCTCTTATATTGAAGTCTACAATGAAACAGTCAGAGATTTGTTGTCACCAGGAAGGCCATTAGTTCTCAGAGAAGACAAGCAGGTCGGTTGTCCATAGAAATTTCCTCTTCTATTTGTTGTATTCCTTCTGATATGGACTTAAAATTGCTCGTATCAAGTGGCAGGCACAACTGGCTTCTTTTGTATTTTCTAGTTGTGAAAATTAACATCTTGAGCATTTTTGTAGCTTTGAACAAATGAAATCTTCATTATCTTGTGTTTTTCTAATGAAGCATCTTGATTGCTGAATTGTTCCAAATACTCCAGGGCATTGTTGCGGCTGGTCTTACACAATACAGAGCTTACTCCACGGATGAAGTAACTTTCTTTTACTCCCTTATGGTTTTGAAAGCTTGATATTTTATGAAATGGAGGAAGAAAAGTTTCATGTCCTTATTTGGGATTCCGTCCAGGTGATGGCATTGCTTCAGCGAGGAAACCAGAACCGAACAACCGAACCGACGCGTGCTAACGAAACTTCTTCACGTTCTCATGCTATACTACAGGTAACTCTTGCTTGACCTCATTAGGATCTTCCCAAAAAGCATGCTCATGTTCCTATGCTTGTGCCACGTGCAGGTTACAGTTGAATACCGAGCCAGAGATGGCGGAATGAATGTCGTAAACCGAGTAGGGAAGCTCTCATTGATTGATCTTGCTGGGTCGGAGAGGGCACTTGCCACAGATCAGAGAACATTAAGATCTCTAGAGGGAGCCAACATAAACAGATCACTCCTTGCTCTAAGTAGTTGCATCAATGCCCTTGTGGAAGGAAAGAAGCACATTCCTTATAGGAATTCAAAACTCACACAACTTCTGAAGGACTCATTAGGAGGAGCATGTAACACTGTGATGATTGCAAATATCAGCCCCAGCAACTTGTCATTTGGTGAAACCCAAAATACACTTCATTGGGCTGATCGTGCAAAAGAGATCAGAACTAAGGTTTGACCATTAAACTTCTTTACTTCTAACTTTTTGATTTATATGGGTTTGGCTTAAGCTGCTGAACCCATATTTGTCCCGTGGATTTGTGAAGCCTGGAGTTTGTTGGACAAACCTGTGGCGCAAGTATTCGAAACCTACTCGCCCAAACTCACTTCCTCTCACAGTTCTACTGAAGCTAGAACTTCTAAATTTACACCAAACGCAGGTTTTTCAAACCCTCCGATTGAACCTCCAAACTTAAAATTTTCATGTTTAAGATGCCAATCTTACGCCCAAATGACCTTATGCGATCATAATATTTCATTTTGGTCCTCTAGAATGTTCTGAAATGACTCTCCTGAATGTGCATAACCATGGTAAAAGACCAAGCTTTACATTAGCAATGACTTGATCTGATCACTGTTTATACATTGTATAAATGCAGGTTCCAGAGGCAAATGAGGAAGTAATGAAGGCACCCGAAACCGAATCAGACCAGGCGAAACTATTGCTCGAATTGCAGAAAGAGAATCGCGAATTGCGGGTGCAATTGGCTCGTCAGCAACAGAAGTTACTTACCTTACAAGCACAGTCCCTGGCTGCAGTTGCTTCACCAACCCCAACTTCAGCCACGTCTCTCTTAACTCCTCCAACATCTGTGCAACAAAATGAGAAACGAAAACCAAAAACCTCCTTCTTAAATGGGAACTGCTTCACACCAGAATCCAGAAAGAAGGGAGCAGAGGAAGCAGTTAGAGAGCTTCGCCGCACTGTGAAACAATTAGAAGCAGAGCTTGAGAAGACAAAGAAAGAGCATGTTGTGCAGTTAAAGCAAAAAGATGATCTTATTAATCAGATCTTGAAGAAGGCCGAAAAACCGGTTGGATCGGTTAGAGGAGAAGCGGTAAAGAGGGTAGAGACAAGAACCAACTTAAGACCAAAGGAGCCAAGCATCGGTGAACTGAAGAGCCCAAGCCACCGGTTCAAGTCACCAGCTCCAACAGCTAAGAAACGAAGCTTTTGGGACATAACAACTACTAATAGTCCATCTCTTGCCACATTAAATGGAAGGAAGACCAGAAGCCATGTTCTTGCAGAACCTCCTCCTGCTGCTGCTCCCTCTATGCTTCGTCAGGTAGTATTCTCTTTTGGCAATACAAATTTTGGAAATGTTGCAATTTCTGTCTTCTAACTGAAACTAACTAATTTTCCCAGTTCATTTGACTTGTAAGTTTGATGATTCTTCTCCAACTGATTCAGCATCCATATCTATCCATCTCATTTTTCTTTTTTCGACAATGCAGCCGGGTTTCGCCCGACAGAAGCCATAGCTTTGGACTAAGACTCAAGAATAATGACAAGAGTAGCTTATTAGAAAAATAGAATGGTGAATAGGCCCTGCTTTGAAGTGAGACTCAAAGAAGAGTAAAAAGTATAAAGAAAACAGAATGCTGACCAAATGTGCTGCTTTAGGAGGGGAGGATGTCTTCATGGTAGATAATTCTTCTGCTTGGGCTGATGGATACTTCATGTGTACACAAGTGATAAGCCGGTAGATTTCTTTGGTTTTCTGTTCTTGTATCTTGAGATTGTGTTGCATATTATTTTATTCTTTCGTAGTCAAAATCCCTGTACTAACCAACTGGAACATATTCCATGAGTTAACTCTCATATGTTTTGATTTGTTTGAGGTATCATCTGGGTATTTATTAATCACCCCAAGAATGATAAGTTTCAAACCCTTTTTTTTCTCACCCAACTCTGTGAACCCGTCAGTAATTTTGTTTTGCAGAAAGCAACGCCTTCCAAACGTTTATGGTAACTTCAAAGTAGGATAAGATTGCTGCTTTTGTTGGTAACACTAATCTGAAAATCTCCTTGAAAAGAAGTGAGGTTTGCCATGTAAACCTTCTCATGAAACTCAAGATGAGGAGTTAAATATAAAAAGAAAAATGGAAAAAGTACATATATACCATGAAAAATGTAAAACAGAAAAATAAAAAACTTGAAATTCCTGTTAAGTTGCCAAAAGTGAAGAACTATAATGTGCATATTGTATGAACGATCGGGTTGCTCCATCCAAGTTAGATTTCAAGATACTTGCCAAAAGTCATCTAAACAACTGACAAATAAATTTCTATCTTCCCATATGAGTTAGATACGTTTTCACACATTCCTCTGTCAATATTAAATTCTACTCTTAACCACCAACTTGATCGTTGGAGTTGCTTTAAAAATACACGTCGTCAGTCTGATCTTTTTAGGAACTACTTGTATAACGAACTTGCAAAATGAATCTCTTTATCCCTATAAAAAAAACCAATCCTACAAAATTGATGATAGAAATGCTAACAAATGATACCCTTATACACTAATAAAGGAGGAAAGCCATGGGTCAGGAAAGAGGTTGATCGCATCCCCTTCACTATGATGGCCAATGAACTCCTCGTTTTGGTCTATTCTTTTTCTTCTTTGAGTTCGGGTCATTGCTCAAACGAGGCTAACTTAGAATAATCTAGTGACGTAAACTATTTCAGTGTAGGGCCTATAAGACTCGTCAAGAATAATCCGATGACAGCCCCTTCGTCTTTCTCTATATGGCAAACATCGGCACAATAGGCTTGTTGATGAGAGATGGCTACATCAATTTGATCCTCTTTTTCTCTTTCTTGCATATTGTTTAAACTATTATCTTTTCCTATAAAATATTGCATCCCATCCACCAACTAATAAGCAGTATGTGGATTTAAGAGGAGAAAGAACTCTAGGAAACAGAAGGGTTTCAAACTTGTAAAAAAAAACTGTCAGATACAATTGAACTGTTGTATGGTAATATGTGAACTTTTAGATGCAATAAATGCTAGAAAAACTCAAGAAAATGATAAACAGATAAAACTAAATAGTGTATCAAACAAAACCCATATGGCAGAAATGACTTTAAAAGAAAAATTTTCTGTCATGTTAATATTTATCTACAAAGATGAAACATCTCTTAAATTTCTCTTCCCGAGACAGGCAGAAGGCAAAAGAGCATGTGTCATTTTCTCATTTTCAATGCTGCTTGTTCTCAACTCTCTGAGGCAGACTTGATGGCAGTTCTTTCTAATGAGTCAAACTTGGTTTAGTTTTCTAGATAACTGGAGATTGGAATTAACTTCTTTGACCTTGTTTTAAGACAAAAGTTTTATGTTTTAGAGATAGCAATGAGTATTTGGGGACTGAAGAAAGCAAGTTGTCAAGTTTATAAAAAGAAAAAACTTGAAGAACTTGCACTAACTGGTGGATTTTAGTGGCTGCTGATAATGTGAACAGCCACTAACATTTTGAAATGGGTTTTGAAGAATGATAAGCAATCATCAAAACTCACAATGGGTTTTCCTTTATTTTCAGAGATAATCTTTAGAATTTGATTTTGACCCATCTATGAGCCAAACCCTCCCCTCCCCCATTGAATAAAGTAACAAAAGGCAAAGTGTGAGAGAAAGCCTTGAAACTAGGAAAAGTGGAGGACACTGAACAGAAGCTCCACACTTTTCCAAATCCCCAAACTGACCATCTCAAAGCAAATCATTGCCATTTCTCCTTGGGGGTAATCTAGTCATTTTTACATACTCCTTCAGTGTAGAGGAGAATTTAGTCATTCAAAAGAACCAAATTCCAAACAGAAAAAAAAAAAAAAAAAAAAGCAGTCAAGTATTGAAGAAAAGCCTCAGCTGTTCTGTCAGGAAGTGGATTTTGAACTTTTTTTTTTCTCTTTTAAATGTGCAAATACTGCTTTTTATGACTTCCATGATTTGGCTCTTGCTAAAAATTCTCTTGGGATCATTTTGGAGACAAGTATGAGCCCCATGTAATGATTGAATCCTCTTCACTTTTGGACCAAAAAATATAAAGTTGGTGATGGTAAGGTGATGGGTAGTCCTAGACAGAGAAAGAAGAATACTGTTGGAAGGAGAAGAAAAGGCAAAGTAAAATACATACAACTCTTGATGATCATTGCCTTCTTTCTAGAGAGAGAGAGAAGAAAATCCTTGTAATCATGTGATGATTATAGCCATTAATAAAGAAGATGATCCTAATTTGGCCAAAAGCTTGAAAATATTAGGCATTGTTTAGTTGTATCCACTTACTTTTATGGAACATTAGGTTGGATTTTCTTCCATTTTGGTCATTTTGTTTGTTTAAAACAATAGTATATACTTTGAAACTTATAGAAATATATCGATGAAGTTTAATTTTTCCAGAAAAAGGAAGACCATGATGTGGTTTCTTTTGGTATAAATACTATTCTCGTCTTTTACTTTTTACTCCTTCATTTTGATCCGTTCAGGTAATTTTAACTTTGATTCATTTTAGTCCTTATATATACTTTCAAAAATGTTCATTTTGGTTCTCGTACTTTTAAAAAGTGGCTATGTTAATCCATTTATTTTTAATTTTATCTCATTTACGTCAATCATAATTTTTGCTTCACTCACTAGTCACTACATTTTAAAATATAGTCATAAATTTGTATTAAACAGTTTCAATTTTGTATTAAAGTTTTACAAATAATGATCAAATTAATCCCTTTTAAAAGTAAGCAACTAAAACAGAGGTTTTGATAGTACAATATAAATAAAAGTTAAAAGTAGATTGATTCAAATAAAAATTTTAAAAGAGTAAAAATGAAAATAAACATAAGTTACATTTTGTACCAAAATGGTATTTCAACTATTTATTTTCTTGCTTTATAACTTTAATTTGTAAGTTCAATGATTAGACTAAGAATGAAACACATGTCAAACATAAGAGGATGGTAAATGGGTAAAGTAAAAAAAAAAAAAAAATTGGAAGTTGAAGAAGCAATTTTTAAAATATAAACAGAGAAGGCAATGATATTTGAAGGTGACCCAACTAATAATTTGAGTACATCATCACATCACATGCCCAAACAACATTACATATTTTATGACGTCATCGATTGAACAAGACAACACAGCCCTCTGTTGGCACTAGATATATATTTTATTTGGGATTAAATTAAAGATTTATTCTAAAACTTTGAGATTTATGAATTTTAAAAAAATATCTTATAAGTTTTTTAATTTATCTAATAAATGTCTGAAATTTTAATTTTATGTTTACCTAAATAGGTTAGATACAAACTTAAAAATTTATTATTTTGTTAAACCAAATTTGAAAATTTGACTAAATTTATATCATTTTATGTTTTTTCCGAGATTTAACCAGGAAGAAATGAGTAACAAAAATTTGTCTAAGGTAATTGTAATTAATGATGAATTAGACAGAAACTATACATTTACACCTTCATCCCCCAACCCTCCATCATCTTGTAATGTATCCCCCCACACCCAAGAAAGAAAGAAAACCCTAAACTGGCGATAGGACACAGTACAGCACATCAAAAAGAAGAAGGAAAAAAAAACGACACTTGGTCTTGGAGTTGGACTCCAGCTGAGCTGCTGCTGCTGAAATGAAGGGAATTTGAGTAGTAGTGAACTCAGACCAATCCTTCCATGGTTGCTTTGCTCAAATTTATACTCTCAACAAATACATACTCAGCTCAGGAGCTCCATTGCTATCTGGGTTCATCATATAGAAAGCTTCAGAATCCCTTGAGCCTACAATTCTCTCAAACTTTGCTCTCATGTACATGATCTCACCATCTGATCCTCCTTCTCCTTCCTTGCTACAGCCCCCGCCACCGCCGCTCTCGGCGTCTTCGTTCACCGGTAAGACGCCAGCCCCCATGGAAATTGGCTCCACAGCCTTCAAGATCTTCCACTCCTTTGCCCCACATTCTCTCCTTGAAGCAAATCCACACTTCTTCCCATTGCAAAAAGTCCTCCAAACAGGCTCTTCAAGCAGCCTTCCTCCTGCTTTCTTGTTCTCCTCTTTCTCTTTGTCACATTCCAAGGCGATCCTGACGAGTCCAGACGCCATTTCCTTCACCAGGCCACTGATTGGTGTGGCCAGCTCGATCAAGAAAGCTGGATGTGAATTGGGATCTCTCTGGAATGCAAAATGTACATGCCCACGGCGAGAACCAAACAGTGTTCCGACCACTCGAGAGCGAAGGCCGAGCTGCGGGCTCCGGTTGCGGCCGAGAGCGGTGAGAACCGAGCGAAACCGGGATACGGCGAGCTGCTGCAGTTTCCTCCTTGTCAATTGTGCTCGTACCTGCTGCTGCTGCTGCTCCTGTGGCTCCTGAGAAATGGGTTTGGTGGTGTTGTTTTCCTCCTTTTCTTCTGCAGAATTTTCTGAGGATTTGAAGGTGGAATCGTCTTCATCTTCATTGCTAACCTTCCTTGTCCAATGGAAGTGCCTTCTGGAGGAGGATTCCAGAGCCATTAGTGTCTGCAGCTGAGAAACCAGGGGAAGGAAAGAAGGAAGGTAGATTCTTTAGAAGGTTGGTTGGTAGGAGAGAGAATGAGAGTGTTATAATAGAGAGAATGTGGTTTTTCTCACCTTTTATTTCCTGTGTGGGGGCTCCCATCATTTAATTCTTAGTTTCAAGGTTCATTGATGTGCTGCAAGAGAATCCTGACAAAAGAAACATAGACTGACCCACCAGCTGATATGGGGAGACACAAGAGAGAGAGACACACTTGAAATTAAAAAAAGAAACAAGAGAGAGAAAGGAATCCCATAGCTGCTTTCTTGTGAGATTGGTATTTGGTTGACCTGAATCCGACAATTAGTGAAACGATGGCTACAAGAGCAACCCCCCTAAGCACAATCCAAAACTGTTCACAATAATACACAATCTAACGAAAATCAAATCCAAATGCATGTGTGAGACGGAAGCACAGAGCTTGTTCGTGGTCACTGAGAACCTCATGAACCTATGTTGAGCACAGAGCCTACATTATTTCTTACAATCACTCTCTCGAGACCCGTCGTCTGATTCATCTAAAGACAAGCAAAAGTCTATCGTTTAAATCGGAAAGGCCAAGATGCTGATAGTATATTGAAGAGAGAGAGAGAGAGAGAAAGAGAGAGAGAGAGAGAGAGATTTAAACAGAGTCACTAATTGTATTAACTAGACATGGATCCGCAGATATGGATATATATTACAATGCATCTTCACAGAGCCCAGTTGCTAGGTTAATCATTTCTTTTTTGTACATATGCACAAGGCATATTTGAAGCACGAACGGTAGGGGGTCAAGGAATCTTGCCTATGGTTGAAGAAAATAAAGATCCTAAAATTAGCTCTCTAAACTTTGCTCGGGCTCCGGTTGCTTTGGAGCAGTGTTGTTGCCATTCATTCTTGCACGAGCCTCTGCAAACATTCTTTGCTGCTCAGCCAAAGCTTCTTCCTCGGTCATCTCAGCTCCATTGCTCCACTTTCCACCTTTCAAGGAGTCTTGCTGGAGAGATTTCTCAACAGAGAGGAAAATAAAAATGTTAGTGCTTCTCGTTGCCTTGAGATGCTCATATTTAAGCCAGAACTTGAGTTTGCAATGATAAAATGTTAGTTATGAGGATGATAGAAAAGGCTTCTCTTTAAGGAACAAAACAAGCTACTAATTATCTGGACCTCACAGAATTTCTATACAACCAGTCACTTCAATCTTTTTATTAACAAGAAACAAACTTTTCATTAGATATATGACCAATCGCTTCATTTAATCCATTGAACTCATTGAACACATACTATTAGCAGATATACTGAAGCATTACCATAGTTTCGAGCCTGTGCTGTTCATATGCAGCATAAACTTCCTCGATGTACTCACTAAAACCAAGCACCTGATCAGATATAATCATACCTGTAAGTCCAAGAGCAGACATAATACAAAAGTAGCCTTGTAGAAACTGCCAATCACCCTTCTTCAAACAGAAGAATGAAAATGTTATGAATACAATCCAAATATGCTACTCTAGGTAAAAAAATGAAAGACTTCACTACTAGGCTACTAGCATTCTAATATATCAGACTACACGTCACACTGTTAACATATTTTGTGAATGTGATTTATATCTCCTTTTCTGTGAAATTGGAGGAAACTAAGTAAGATGTTCTGTCAGAACTGCTTAATGCACCCCAAGCTTGGGTCAACTATATAAGAACACAGTAGATTCAAAATAAATTCTGTGCCCAAAACATTTGCAGAGATTTAGATAGAACAATATAAGCAGTACTAAAAATCAAAATAGAGCACTAAAATGATTCCTTAATCTGTATAGTTAAGGCATTGAAATTCTTATTCCACTGAAGAACATTTATTTATAGCTTATGATTTGGTACTTTTGTAGTACAGCTGAACAAGTAATAATGAAAACAACCCCTAAGAATGTAAAATTTGAATTTTATGGAGCTAGATGGTAAAAAAGACAATGGTAGCATGCATTATCCCGAACAATAACAGAAATTAACACCTATAAATATATATTATTAAGAATATAAGAGAAACTTGGATAGTCCATAGACCTCGAGAGCCTTGAGCACGTGCTCAGGTGCAATTGTTCTTTTTTCTTCTTTGCTACAAACTTCATTAGACTCGGATGATACAAGGTTTATAAACTCTGCAAGAGTACCACAATAAAAGAAGTGCATTCTTTAGTAAGAAATCAAAATTAGTCATAGCCACGGGGGGAGGAGGGTGAGGTGCACAATAGTAAAAAGTACTAAAATAAAAATTACTAAATCCTAAAATAGTACAGCAAATGCAGTGTCCAAAGAGAAATACAGGTCATATATTGTTGGAAAAACAATAGAACCACAAACAGCTATTAATAGCAGTACAAGAAACCAACACCAAGTACTGACACATCAAATATTAAAATATACAAATAAAATGGCAAAACAAGATATTCTCACCTACACAACACTCAATCAGAAGATCTTGCGCATCTCTTGCAACACGTACATCAGGGGGCAACATCTCTTTAATAATTTTGGTCATGGTCGCTGAAAAAGGATGATTACAAAGCAGAATTTTAGCAACTAAACAAAACCACCTGGATAATCTGAAATCAGAATTTACAGAACCCAAGCACTCGTCGTCTTATCCAAGTTATTAAATGGTCTTCAATTACTTCATTTGTACAAGGAAGTAAGTCCCATATCATTATCACCAAAATATATCATATAAAAGTTTGAACCCGTTCATTTTAGCTAAAAAACTGAAAGAAAAATACCACGAGTGGAGGAACTCTAACATCTGGGGAACATAAATGTCCAGAAATTTTACTCTTTCGTATGAGAGACGTCAGGCCTAAAAGCTCAACAAGAACAACAAAACTGACTCCCTAAAACATACGGATGTAAAAGATAAGGGAGAAGAGGGAAGAGCCTCAAAGTAAGATGAAATTACATAACGAAAAACAAAACTCAATGACTAGTAATTAGTGAAACAGAAGCGGGATGCAAAAACATAAATGACATCATAGGAGCAATCTATGATTACAGAGCGTGAACACGTTTGTGACCGACGAACTGAGACTCAGGCCTTTAGGCATACTAGTCACTCGCTTTCCCCCGCAAAAAATACTGAAAGGAAAACCATAAAGAATCATGCAGAGGGGATCCTTCCATCAACTCTTATCTATTAATTATTAACTAGTTCCAATTTTTCACCACAAATTGTCCCTCTCTGCAGCCGTATCGAGCAAACAAAATTACCCAGGAAACATAAATGAGCACCAAGTTTCATCTTCTTTGGTGAATAGGATGTTAACGGTACCATTAATCGTTCAGGTCGCGAAATATAGATTTTCAAACATCGACTTCAACCCCAGATTTGACACTTCTTCCCAAATTTCAGATTATTGTTTTAAAATAAAAGTGACACCAAATTAGCCCATGAATCAACCATGGAGGAAAATACCCCCAAAAAAATCACGCCAAAAACCAAAAACTACCGCGCAAAATTACAAGTACCCTTTGGAAGCGAGGCGTCCTCTTTAGACTTTCCAACTATATCCATCGGCTCCATACCGAACCTTCGAGACTGCAATAGACACAATCAAAAAGAAAACAAGATGAAAAAGAACCCCAACGGCAAGCACAACAGTACAAAAAGCGGCGCAAATCAGGAACAGAAACAAAATCTGGAAAAAACAAATAAATAAAATAAATAAACAACGATGCACACGAGGGGGAAGGAGATCGGAACTCACGGCGTCCCAGAAGCCAACGGACAAAATAAATATACTGAATCGGAAAATGACGACGGCGATCCAACCGATTGTAGATCGGAATCGAAGGAGGCGATGGAGGTGGTGGAGTGGTGGAGGGGCATTGTTGATATATGCATTTTTATCAGAGGTTATTGTGGTTCTTCAGGATAAGAGAGTAAGATCTCGCTCGCAGGAGATTAGGGCAAAGGAGGCAGCGGAGTGTGGGCCACTCGCCAAGGACGCGCGTGGAGTAAGTGCAACCGAATGAAGAAGTTGGATCACGTGGGACCCGTGGGCTCTGCCCTTTTTAGCGCTGATTGGTTGTGGGGAGAGTATAGTGGTCACGCGGCTCGGTGGCGCGTGAGCAAGTGGGAGCTTTGGATGCTTTTTTTGTAATTATGAATTTACGTGTTTTTTTTTCTTTATTTATTCTTTTTCCGAAAGCCAGTTGTTTTTAGGATGGGTCGTCTTTTACTTGTTCTTAATGTTTGACATATTTGCCACTGAAAGAGATCGCCCAGCGTCGTGGCAATCGAGAATTGGTCCTTTCGTCAATTTGGAGAATCCCACCACTTGGGCCGGGCCTTCGCTTAATGGGCCGTGGTTTCCCTCCTTTTCCATTTTTTAATTAGTTTTTATATTTAATTATTAATTTAGTTTATTTTCCATGTTGAAGATGTGATACTTTAATTTTTAGTTAAGGGGTGGATGATTGAATCGATAAGCATCTTTTTTCTTTCCTGTTATTATAACAAGTGAGGTAGACCCAATATCTTAACTTGAATTTGAGATGTATGCGAATTATCACTAAACTATACTCGTTTTTAGTAAATAGATAAGCATCTTATCACTAAGTTATAACGAAGTTTGCACATATTTTCAACAGTAAGTTATTGTTTTTCTAGTTAGTCATGTCTAACTAAATTTTATAAATGAGTAACAATAATACAATAGTATGATTGATTATTTGAATAAGACAATATTTATGGATGTTTATGAGGTATAATCAAACCGTTAAGATAAATATAACTTAACAGTAATTAGTATATATTTCCAATCAAGAGGCTGCGAGTTCGATCCTCCATCCCACATGTTGTAAAAGAAAAAAAGAGAGATATAATCAGACCAGTAACTAAACGTTATAACTGACCAACATGTTTATAGCTCAATAAAAGACATTTATTCAAGGAGGTTGAAATTCTCACACACTTACCTTTGTTATACTAATATATATATATATATTAGAAATGACTTTTTGTTGAGATATGTGAGCGCATCCATAATTATTTAATGGTTAATGTTGCGTAGGGAGGTTTTATAAACAACTTTTTTATATTGTTTATAGCTAAAATTAGTGGGAACTAGCCCAAATTAAGAAATTAAAACCTAACAACACTTATTTAATTTTAGTGTCCAATTGAGTAAACTTCAAAGTGAAATTTGATGCAAATGAGTTCAGCGGTAAATTTTATATTATATTTCATAAAATCTAATTAATTAATTGTTAAAATAACCATCAACGTATTATAATTAAATACTCGAAATCCCTACAAATCAATTAATTAAAAAAAAGTTACCTCGAAAA